GGCTTAATATTTACAAATATTAGTGTGTGTGTGTGCGCCCCTAATATAATGGCAGGGGAAACACTGATATATATATAAATAAAACAACCCAAATAGAAAATGTAGAGAACACTGAGATGTATACCGTATATTGCATTTCAGCCAAAAAATACAGAGATATTAGTTTTTGGCCATATCGCACAGCCCTAGGTGAAGTGTGTAATTTTTGGATTTTAAAATAGTTTCTCCTATCCCAGCTTAATTTGGAGAGACATAAGTAAGCCATTCGTAGGTTGATTCCTCTGAAAAGCTCTGTGGCACTTTCAAAACATTGCTATTTTTGTTTTGAGTATCTCAACTAGCATCACTGACCAATGCCATTTGGATAAAAATACTCCCATACCACTGTTCAAAAGTTTGCTAGTTGTTCATTATATAAAAGACTCTGAACAGATTTCCATTTCACCATAGATTCTCTTTCAACACAGTGAAATCTTGCTGCTAATCTTACAAACATGAGGCTGCACAGATGTGACTAGCAGGGCCTAGTTTCAAACAACATATCCATGCCACAGTGTTTTAAGACTCGAGTCAGTTTAAAAAGGAAAACAAACATTCTACATTTTGCACTCTAAAACTTTTTCCAGTAATGCTGTGATAGGTATGGCTACAGTTTCTATATTATATTAAAGTACAGGATTTCATCCCTAAAGTTCACAGATACAGGCCAGAGGGATCACAGACCTGTAGTTCTCCACAGTAACTCTGGCATCCTCTAAAACCTCACTGGACAGCAGCACGTTTCTGGGGTCCGTCACCATGAAGAAGTGCTGAGCTCGGCCCATAAACGTGCCCTGGTCCCATCGTGGTTCTTTAATGTTGATATTCAGAGGCAAATCTCCAGACATCCTATTCGATTTCTGTTAAGATCATAAATAAGTCTGGGTTATAGCGAGACTGAGAAACAGAAGATGGTTTAAAGTAAGCCATTCGTAGGTTGATTCCTCTGAAAAGCTCTGTGGCACTTTCAAAACATTGCTATTTTTGTTTTGAGTATCTCAACTAGCATCACTGACCAATGCCATTTGGGGTGGGACTGGCATCTGTTTGACTGACCAATGGGAGATGGGGGAGTGTTTGAAAACAGCCATTAATAATACTTCACAGGGCATCAGAGGAGGTAAAATCACACTCTCACACACACACAAGTCTGGTTTACTATCCTTGTGGGTACTCTCCATAGGCGTAATGGTTTATATATATATATATATATATATATATTAAATGGCTTACTCTGGCATCCTCTAAAACCTCACTGGACAGCAGCACGTTTCTGGGGTCCGTCACCATGAAGAAGTGCTGAGCTCGGCCCATAAACGTGCCCTGGTCCCATCGTGGTTCTTTAATGTTGATATTCAGAGGCAAATCTCCAGACATCCTATTCGATTTCTGTTAAGATCATAAATAAGTCTGGGTTATAGCGAGACTGAGAAACAGAAGATGGTTTAGTAGCTGTTCAAACCTGATTTGTGGGAACAAGGTAATTGGTAGACTTAAAAACAAATGATCATCTCTCAGAACATCTCTGTCATGAAGAATGTTGAACTGCAGCTATGCCAACATAGTTGACATAGTTGAAATGGTTTCAAAGGTGAAAGTAAAACTAAGAAAATGAATGGCTGGGATCATTAAAAGTAACAGCTCTTAAACCATATTTACTAATAAAAAGGACGGACCCTCTTTCTTTATGTTCATGCATATTAATTCGCTTATTGCCATGCACGCATGTAAACAATAATGCCTGACAGATGAACGTGAGATTAGCAATGCATATCAAAAGAGGAAGGACTAGCCGGGGCTGTTGGACTTGCACAGCGGTTTACTGCAGACAGTATGTAACTGAACTGTTTATTAACTAAAGAAAATGGTATTGTTTATCTACCATGGCGAGCGATATAAACCGCATATTTACTGCTATTGTAGCTAATGCTAACTGCTCTGCTGGTGCGATGTAAACTGACAAGGACATGCAAAATACCGACATTTCCTATGACATGAATTTAATTTAATTTGACCGAAGCTGTCGCCTTGTTAAGATGAGTTGTATGTGCTATTTTCACTTATAAAGTATGCAATTTAATTACAAGCAAACTCAAATCCCCTTCAACGGGCTAAAATACCGTTAGCTAGCTTCAACGTAATCTCACGTACATGAACACAACAACCATATCAAAACAGACAAACGTGCATTTTTGTTTGAAGAGTCATTCAGTAAAATATCTGACACAGACCTTGTTAAAACACCACAGATAACGTTAGCGTTCAGGTACACCTTGAAGCAGATGACCTCAGTGCTGACTGCTTTCCTCTGCGTGATGACAGGACTGAACGCACTTCCGGTCTTGCCTTGAAAATCTGCGTGAAGAGGGTTGAAATGATGAACGGGCACTTTTTGTGTGAAAAGGCGGTGTTTAGAATACATAGATCTACAGTTGGCTCGTGAGACTAGGCGTGGACGAGAGCTGCGCTGTGATTGGTGGTTGGTTCTGAAGGCGTGGCCTGGATGAGAGCTGCATTATGATTAGCTATTTGATTCGTGATTTTCCTGAGATAGGTCATTAGTAGCGCCAGCCGCCAAAGAACTTATAGTGACTTCTATACTATACTCTTTGGTAGTAGCGCTTACCTCCACAGGCTCTGAGTTGCTCTAATGGGGGATTTTTAGCTTTTTGAAAAAGTATTAAAGGTGTTCTAAGCCGATATCAGCAATTTTGCAAAACTTCAGCCAGATATCCGCCCTCCAGAAAATGAGTGACTGGCAAAGAACGTTTCTGATGGGCTAAACAAGGGCGGGCCGCTCTGCTAACTATCTTTTTAAATATATTTACAAAACATATGATTACCACAGACATGTGTAATATGTGAAAAACACCTATTTCAGTCATATGGTATCAAATATGTACCTATGGTATCAAAATAAACGCTTAGCCTACATGCAGCACTTTTGACCTTTAAGATGAGCCAACTTAAATATCAAGCTGCAGTTTTGGGATGTTACAAACAAAAACGATTGTTGGTCTTGTTTGCATTTCTAATAAAGGAATATGAATATGGTGAAAAATATGTCTAAAGCAGAAATTTACATGTACGATAGATACATAGGTTGTTAATTATTCATTTTTCAGTGGCGAATTCAGTTTACACTGCAATACAATTTTAGTACACTCAAAAACCAAATTCACAGAAAAGAAATGTTGTTGAATGACCACTACATGGCAGTATAGTGTTATGAAAGATGTTCCGATCTCCTTGACGCTCCAAAGGGGATCAATTGAAGACGAATTCACATTCAACATTTGATCAAAAGAAATTCTCAAACACGTCTAATTGCAACCATTTAATCCTGATAGATAATTTAACCACAAATGAGAAGAGAAGCATGCTGCATCTTGTTGAAATGCGCTTCATTTAGTGTTTGATGGCAACGGGCGCTTACCTGCAGACCAACGTGAGACTTAATTGGATCTGTACTTGTTCCACAAGACCACTGTTCATATAATACTCTTATGCTATGAGTGACGATTGTCAACCACTGGACCAAATGAGTTAGTGCACTGTGTCCTTCTGAGCTGCTCCACATAATCCAATCACATGCATTGAGAGGCGGGCTTAAAGGAGGCTAATATTGTCTTTGCCTCAGGTGAGGTCATGCGGCACAACATGGAGACAGGTAAAGGCATTTCACTTCATCGAACTTTGTTTTTCTTGCATTTATGCATCACATTAACAGCAGCCTAAGTAGGATAAGTAAATAAGGTAAATTAGCTTTTATTTAGGATGAATCTTGCTGGTAATGCAAGTAATTTCCTACTAACTTGTTGACTGCATCTGTGCCATGAGAATGTCTCATAGAGGATGATCTTTGCATAGTTTTAAGATCTTCTCACCCTGATTAATTTAAACTAGGCTATTTATTCTAGAGAAGTGAGACAATACTTAATCTCTGAGAATTTTGTCTTGTTATATTGTTCACTGAAGCGTTTCGATGCGCTTTACGTAACCTGTTGCTTGAGCGCTGTCCGAGGTGCTGATGATGAGGCAGCGCCAACTTCCTGTTTAGACTAACGAAATGACAACGCCAGTTTCTTTTCTTGACTATAGAATGCCTGACCGAAAACCCTAGACGAACACATAAGGGGTCAAGATGACGCGCATTGGATTCAATGGATTTTTTTATTAAAGAAAATGGATCCTGTTTCTATCGGTACAGTAAATACAGTAAAAAAAAAAAAGTATATTGGTAACTATAACCTATCTGTTTACATGAGAAATTTCGATGTGCTGACAATTTTTTTCAGATTATGTAACTATGATCCTGGTAGACAGAACCGGCCGATCTCATTCAAAAGTCTGCACTTTCTGTCCATTTGAGGGAGATTTTGTACTGCTTTCTTCTGATGGAAAGAGATTTTCATACTAGTCACCTGGACACACCTATTGACTCTTTATTATCGCAATTAAAAAAAAAATGGTACTGATATTGGTAACACATTAAAGATGCTCTATGTGATGGAACACACTTTTAGTCATATAGAAATGCCTTTTCAAAACAAAATGTGAAGGTGAAAATAAAAGTAATTAATGTAATTCTCTTGATTAATCCATTAAGAAAAAGTTTCAGGTTTTTTTCTGAACCAATAATCAAATATATGAAAATGACAGGCAACACCCTTTATGCATTGAAAAGTTTAAAAAGTAAATTTGTACACATTAGTGTTTCACATCGGCTCAGTATCTCTTGCTGTGGAAACAGTGCAACCCTTAGCTTTCCAGAAAGCAATAATTGCTGATATCACTTTACCTCCCATGGGAAATTAGTCATTGCGCGTCTGGGTTCTCACAGATCTTTTTCTGTCGTCTTGGTTCACTGGCAGGTAAAGGTGAGACATTGAGGCCTGGGAGGACCAATGACTGACTTCTGCCAAGCAAAGCTCCACTGGCAGTGAGGAGGGACTCCAGCCCAATGATCCATTCTAATCAGCAGACTTTCAACTCAACAAAAAGACCTGAGCCACTATTATACATCATCTGTTTTTGTGAGACTCTCTTCCGAACAATGCACATAAGGATACACATTGCTCTGCCACTTCTTGGATAATAGAATTTATTTATCAGCTGATTCATGAAATGATTATAATTATGTCAGAGTCCTTTGGATCGATTTACTCTGTTAAGACGAGTCACAATATGGCTTGTAATCTAAAGTGAACAATGCTGGATCCATAGCGGCTTCTTCCTGCTCCACTGCAGCACTGTAATCCTCGTGACTGGTATTGACCCACCGGACCTCTAGTTTTCCCACTCCACCCTCCTTCCCTTTAGAAGCTCAGGCCCTGGATGAGGGTTAGAGGGGAGGTCGGCACTTTGCCATGGCTCATTTGTCTGACACGGCACGCAAAGACATGACGAATGGGGCTCATCCCAGTGCCCAGCCAGGGCCCTCGGGCACTTCTACTCTACCACGCTACCTGCACAGAAAGCAGCAGCGCCAGAGAGGAGTGAGATCTTCCTCTCCTATGGGCAGGGTCATCCTCATCAATGCACCTGTCGATGGTGAGTCTTCTACAATAGTTTGCACCTTGACATGATCTAGATGCAGGTAACCAACATATTCTCATGGCAATTCATTGCTATTTTATGTTTTGGCGAATTGGTGGCGAATATGTATAATTTTGAACTCTCTCATTTGTACATTTTTGTACAATCTGCCTATGCCACTTTAGGTTTAGTGGTGGACATGAAGGCTTAGTTTTTTTTTTGTTTGTTTTAAAAAAATAATTATATGTTTTTGTAAATTTAAATGCATGCATTTAGCAGGCACTTTTATCCAAAGAGTCATACAAAAGAGGAACAAAGCAATTTGTCAAAGAATGAAATTATATAAATTCACACAAGTTCGCCAAAAAAAACAATTTTTTTATGAGATCGGGCTGAGGTAATAGTTTCTAAAGTATATTTATTCCATTTAAGGATTAAAATATAATGGTACTGTATTGGTTATTGACTAATATTTGACTTTAAAAAAATTAAGTAGTATCAGTTGATATTGGATATTTAAAAATGCTTAACTTTAGTTCTTAGTGTTTTATTTTTTTCTTAGATTAAATAAAAAAAAACATAGTTATAAACTATATAGTATCTGTTATCGGCCATAGCATGAAAATTATCTGCTTAACTATATCAACCAGATCCATATCTATAAATTGTGATATCATGCTTCCCTAGGAGGACAATAACAGTACAGCGTCGTCAAACAATGAAATTACACAAACAGGATCCTGTGATGCTTTTTAAACAAAACTGAAGGGGTTGCTGAATGCCATACAATTGTTGGCTGACATCCCTTTAAAAAACCTAATAAAAAAATTTAATGTTTAGTTTTTTAAACAAATACTTACATAAGAACATATTATGATATTATATTATATTATTTATATTATATTAATTGAAAAAAAAACTTTTGCTAAGGAGCAAAAGCATTGACAGAATCCATTAATAAACTTGTGCTTTGTATGAAGAATTTATTTTCAGAGGAACTTTCCATTTGTGTTTGATTTTGGTGCACCATAGGTGGGGATGACAGTGAAGACATCCACACAATTACTGTGGACAAAAGTGAGGATGGCAGGCTGGGCTTCAGTGTGCGGGGAGGCTCTGAACATGGCCTGGGAATCTTTGTCAGCAAGGTGGAGGATGACAGCTCTGCAGGTACAACTGATGAGGTCACAGGACTGGGATTTGCATTTGAGATTTAAGATTTATTACATCTTACAACAAGGTATGTATGTATAAGCTATTGGTGAGTTTCAAGTGAATGTGAATGTGGTTTCCTCATTCCACACTGCAGAGTTGGCAGGCCTGTGTGTTGGGGATAAGCTGGTCGAGGTGAATGGTATAAGTCTGGAGAGCATCACCATGAGCAGTGCAGTAAAAGTCCTGACAGGAAACAATCGTCTGCGCATGGTAGTAAGACGTGTGGGGAAGGTGCCTGGTATCCGCTATTCAAAAGAGAAGACTACATGGTAAGTGGGTAAAGATTTTATGTGCTCACTTGAACTTGATTTACTATTTTGTTGGTTTTTATATCAGGCTAAGCACATTCTATCAGGCTGAACATCATTTATAATGTTATTTCTGCACCACTGTCCACATTTATTTGAAGACACTAATATTGGCTAAGCTTTTTTCTTTACTGTTGTTTGTTTTCAAACTTTTTTATTAACAGAAACTGTCCATCTCCATGAAGTGTTGCTATATTAAATTAATTAATCAGAATCTGATTCTGTATGTTTTTCAATAAAAACAATATTTATTAAGGCGAGACACTGCAGGTGAATAGGGTAAAAAAAATAACTAATAGTTATCGCCTTACTTACCCAGCTGATTGATTACATTGATAATTGCACTCATTTTTGTTACTCCATAATTCAGAAAATGCTTAGAACGGACAGAAAACACTATATTTTCCAAATTTTTAGGGAATTAAAATGTTGTATATAATCAAGCAAATTATATATGAACAAATCCCTCTGTAAAAACATTCAGAATATAGACAGGAATAAAAATGTAAAGTTTGGTGTGTGTAAGTGCTACTCGAGTGGAGATTTATGGCTCAGTGTAGCCATACACTGAAACTCATTTTGAGAAAACGGCCTTTAAAAATATGTATTGTAATTGAAATCTATTGACATAATAAACACTTAACAGTGTCTTTTGGATGTTTTCTTTCCACTAGTCTTAAAAAAAACTTAATGAAAAACCAAAAAGCCCAAAATCTCAAACTTGACAGGTGCATGAAAAAACAGTGTTTTTGCCTGCAGTGTCTCCCCTTAAAGGGTAAAATACATCTGTTCTCAGTTTACATATATATATTTTCCAGGTTTTTGCATTTTTTAAAAACTTTAAATTATTGAGAATTTTAAGTCATCCTGTGGAAGTTTGCTGAAGATCCCTGGTTGTGAACCATTATTCTACACTGATGATCTTGTGACTGATGCATCATCAGGCCTCTGTACTCTGTCAATTACAGTTTTATTGTGTATCTCATATCTCATGAGATATTGTGTATCTGTGCATATAAAAGTTTTAAAAAATAAATTATTTTTATTTTCATAGCTATACAAATAAGTAATTAAAAGCATCAACATGACCTTTAGTAGTCTGCAACGGCAAGAAAAGTAGCTGTTTGTATGGCAGCTTGACCTGTCTCCCACAAGCCTGCCTCCCGGAGGTTGTCCAGATACCCTTTGACAACTCATGACAGAAAAGTGTGTTCTGTCCTTGAACATTTAGAGGTTCTTTTGGTGTTGAAATGCTGTTTTTAGGCATTTATTTGTTGCAGATTTGCTGAATGATGACTGACTGAACTGAGAAGATATAAGCAGAGCGTAGTGATGGGCTCTTTCCCCCCTGCCTTGACTAATGGGGTGGAAACCCTGTGACTCTTGGCCTTTACTTGTTATCTTTTCCTTCAGCTTCTGTTTCAGCATACAGCAGTGGTAGAGTTACTTCAGTGGTCTTCTCAGCCATTTCATTAACTGATAGTAGAGTGAGCAAGTTTATTACAGAAGCATATGTGTGTACTGAAAGTTTGTGTGTGCTTGTGTATAACACTGGATTTTTACTTAAAGGTGAAGTGTGTAATTATTTATATTAAAATATTTTCTCCTGTCGTAACTTAATATGGAGAGACAATTATAAACCATTTGTAGGTTGAAGTGGAAACTCTGTTTTTCTGTGTCATATTCAACATATTTTTTTGATCATGTTTGAGTTTGGGGGCTGGTTATCTGTTTGTCTGACCAATGAAAGATTGGGACAATTCCGTTTGGCGATGCTGTAGTGCAGAAATTAGTTTGGGGTTGGTAAGATTTTTAAATGTTTCTCTTAGTCTCTTATGCTCTTATGCTCACTAAGGTAATTTGTAATTTAAATGTAATTTATTCATGTGATGGCAAAGCTGAATTTTCAGCATCATTACTCCAATCTTCAGTGTCACATGATCCTTCAGAAATCATTCTAATATACTGATTTGCTGCTCAGGAAACATTTCTTTTAATCATCAATGTTGAAAACAGTTGTGGTGCTTAATGTTTTAATGGAAACCATGATGTTTTTATCAGGATTCTTTGGTGAATAGAAAGTTAAAGAACAGCATTGAAATCTTTTGTAACAATTTAAAAGTCTACACTCTAAAAAATGCTGGGTTGTTTCAACCCAACTTTGGGTCAAATATGGACTAACCCAACTTTTGGGTTAAAAATGTAATGTAAAAATTTAACCCAACGGCTGGGTTAGTCCATATTTGACCCAAAGTTGGGTTGAAAAAACCCAGCATTTTTTAGAGTGTATGCTGTCACTTTTAAACAATTTAATGCATTCTCACTAAATAAAATAATTAATTGCTTGTAAAAATATACAAATATATGTAACAAATGCAGGGTAGATCTGATCCACCGAAGGATGGTAGTGGAAGAAAGCGGTCGCACACCTTCAGAGGCCAGTTCAGATGGAGCCCTGCGCAGAATAGTGCACCTTTACACAACCTCAGATGACTACTGCCTGGGCTTCAACATCCGCGGTGGCAAAGAGTTTGGCCTGGGCATCTACGTCTCAAAGTAAGACATAATGACCGGGGATTTGAGGGATACAACTGTTGCCTAGATGCTATGATCAATTGTTGAACTTTATTAATGTGATGATTTGTTTAATTTTGTGATAAGGCTGGACCCTGGTGGCCTGGCAGAGCAAAATGGAATTAAAATGGGGGATCAAATTCTGGCAGCCAATGGAGTGAGTTTTGAGGACATCACACACAGCAATGCAGTAGAAGTGCTAAAGAGTCACACTCACGTGATGCTGACTATCAAGGTGAGAATAACCAAAACATTAGCAATAGACCTGATATTTGACCCAAAACACACACACACAGTTTTACAATTAATTAGTAAGGAATGTCCATTTTTAATGACAAAATGTACAATTTTACATCGGTGTGTACATCTTAGTTTATCAGGAAGGCAAATTTTAGTTTTTAGTTTAGCAAGACAAATGCTTTCCAAAGTCTTTTTTTCATATTAATTGCCACCATAGCATGTTAAACAACAGCCTCTTATTGCGTCTGGGAGTGAGAAAGCATAGCAAAGCAGACAGATGGCATTTAGCCGTCACATTCCTGGTTGCTCGCTTTACTCAGGCAGAGCTCAGGTTCCACCTGTGAAAAACAGCCAGCGGGTGTGCATTATTCACCAGGCCTTGGGGATCAAGTTATAATCAGCAGAAAGCCTCGTTTTATGGCCTTTTCTCATTGCCCCCATGGCAAGGCTCTATCGAACCTGCAGTGGTGCTATAAGTATATAGGGCTGCTAAATGCCTGCTTTGTTAGCTATTGATGCCAATTTGTGGTGGTAAGTATGAGCTCTGCTGGTGATAAGTGAAGTGACAATGTGAGAAAATGTCAGACAAGGATCAAAACATAAGGAGAAAGGGATGTTTTTTGAACTGTGCTGCAGTTTGTTCGAATCCAGCTCCTGAATGACGTCACTGTCGTAACACGTGACTTACTTTCCTGCAAGGCAGATCAGGCTGCCTCCTACCATCATCTTAATGATGTTCAAGCTTAATGATGTTCAAGCTTAATGATGTTTTGTGTTCATGGAGTAACAAACTAACTGTGACTTCATGAGAGCCCATAGTGAGGTCAGTGTACACCTGGGGCATCAGAAATGAGGTCATATCCACCTGACTTGACTGGTGGAAAATGCTGTTTGAAGTCATTTTTAGGCTGTTTAGACTTAATTTGCACAATGAATTATTTCTAACACAGGACTTTGAACTTGCATGCAATGTAATTAAGGCTGTGGCTCCTTTTCTCACTGCGATTATGTCTTGTGTAATATCCTGTCCTAGGAGGCTGGCCGATATCCTGCTTACAAGGAGATGGTGGCGGAGTACAGCTGGCTTAATAAATGTATGTAAACGATACCTGCAAAGTGCAAACCTCACTATTTAACATCTTATCTGTTCATGGATAGGTTGTTTGCTTGATGCAACCCACTCATTTGCACTTATATCTTATAGAGACGCAATTTTCATAATTAAATTGATGGTGTGCACTGGGACGGTCCATCTCCAGATTAAAACGGAATACCAACCGGCCACATGTCAAGCCAGATTTTTTCATTGCTCTCTGATTCTCTGTTTTCCATTTAATATGTATGGCAGTGTCTGAAAATAGCCACAGATTAGATCTTAATGTTCACATTCAGATAAGTCGTCCGGGAGTGTGCATGTTTGTAACATCATGGTGATTCAGGGGTATTTAGGTTGCAGGACAGAAGCTCAGGTATTTCTGCTCCATATTTAACACTAGTGACATTGATATATTGTTCATTCAGATGTAAAAGTACATCAGGACTTTCTTTAATATTTATGAGGCTTTTGGCTGCCATGTCTGTTGCTATATTTGTTATGCTTATTTATTTTTTTATTTTTTATTTTGCAAATTGCAGTTGTTATCCAAAAAAGCAATTTCTATCTATTTAATGCATAAAAAATCATTTTGTTTGTATAAATGAATGTATTTAGGTGGACCCAGATAGATAGATAGATAGATAGATAGATAGATAATCTATTAAAATATATAATCTATAGGCAAATAAATAAATCATATTTTGGGCTTGAGTAAATATATTAAATGAAAGTCTCTATTTTTCCCCCTTAGTGGCTAATGGAGACCAGCCCTCTTCCTCCCAGGGTTCAGACTCCTACTCCTCCACTTCCTCTCTCTCCTCTGGGACGCCGGTCAGCTCTCTCAGTGGCCTCTCGCAGGTCATGTTCCCTCCTATATTTGGCTCAGAGATGGTGGATGTCTGTATCTCCACCGAGGACCGCTCACGCCGGCCCAGCTCTGAACGGATAGAGACCGCCATGCAGACTGACCCGCTGGAACCTGACACCACATCAAAATCTAGTAGGGTCATAAACACAGAAACCAGCCGAACGGTTGGTGAAACTGTCCTGTTAAAAGACACAGTGATCCGCAGTGGGACTGCCAAATCTCGGACAAGGACCTTCTCTGCTGGGGATAAAGAGACTCTGGACTCTCCTAAAACGGCAGTCCTGATGGCTCTCAGCAAGCCTCGGAAACCCATCCGCCGATCCCAGAGTCACATCACTGTGTCAGGTACAGTAAGGCTGGTTTGAAGAGATAAAAAACAGTCTGTCAAAAGGCTGTGAATCAAAATGAGGTGAGCTGCACAAGGCCGTCCTCTGTTTGTGTCACTGATGTAACTCATAACTCAGTTGTAGTGCCGGGGCCCAAGGTCACAACCAGATCAGTGATGAGGATCTTGGGTTATTTGATACACACACCATGCTGTGGAAGCTCCGCTCAGAATAGAAAATGTGTTGTCGAAAACCAGCAATTGATCTTTAGAGTCACACTGCTACGTCTGTTTGTCAAATATATAGCAGTGTGCTGCCATTGCATCTCTGCATTTAAAATAACTTGGTTGAATGCATAATACATCAGCATTACTGCATGGGATCTTCCCGTGAAAGATTAACGGTTCAGACTGGAGAATCTGATGCCTTGCTAAATGTATGCTCAAAATCCACACAGCAAAGTGTATATCATCGTGTTTTATTTACCAGGCTTAATACCTCACACTGTGGAGATAAATGACCGGAGGGTTTGTGGCCTTTAACAAATACATTCAATCACAGCTTAACATAACAAGCTCTTCTTGAGTGAATCTCACGGAAACATGTCCAGGTCGTATTTCACCCCAAATCAAAAATAGAAAAATAATAACATGCAGAAGAAAAAATAGATATCATGGCCACAAATTAAGAATTTGTTCCCACAACTTATTAATTCTTTACCAAGTTGTATTAAGTTGTTCTCTCATGGTAGTTAAATCATGGTCATGTTGAACTATTTGTTCTCTTGTTTTAATTTAGTTAAATTGTCGATAGAAGAACACAATTTAAGAAGAACCAATTAATAAACTGTGGAAACAAATTGGCCACAATATCTAGATTTTTTTTTGCCAGAATGTCATCCGTGGGGCTCTGTACATTTCCCTCAGTTGTCGTTAATGTATGCTGATGTTTTTATTAAAAAAAAATGTTTTACTTGTTTGTTTCCTCATAAAATTTTACAGAAATAAAAATGAAATTTAAAAATGTAATGAATAAAAAATAAAAGGCAATAGAACATTCACATTATAGCAATTGCAATATGGTCCTAAAAGTAGGTGATACCATTTATATATATATATTTATTTATATTGTGAAAAATGACTCCATTATGTCCATGACAGACTTTGTGAGAATTCAGAGTAGCTGTTTTTTATTTTGTATTTTATTTCGCAAATTGCAGTTATTATCCTAAAAAGCTATTTCTATCTGATTTTTTTAACCAAAAAGTGCTCTCGACCTGCAGTGACCTGGGGTTAAATGACTTTCTCGAGGACACAGTAGTGATGAAACAGGATTGTGATCTCAGGAACTCTCCAGTTTCTGGGTCACCATTGCTCAGGGCTTAACTTGCAACCTTTGCCACCTATAATACATGAATTTGATCACTTGGGCATGTTTAAGTTTTATTTATGAACATTTATTTATTCAGTATATAATTTAACTCAAACTTCTTTGCCAGGAGGTCACTCTTTGACATGTTTATGCTTGAATGTTGAGCAGAGGACAAGCAGAAGAAAAAGAAGCATCAAAAGGACAAGGTAGAGATGGAGGGAAACACCCTGCAGCGCTCCAAAACCTTTGTCAGCTTGCTCTTTAAAAGCGGACGCAGGAGGGAAAGGTCGTCCTCCAAAGACAGGAAGGACAAAGGGACAGGGGACGGACACAGAGGAAGATCCAAATCCCCGAAACATTTAGATAACGAACCGGGTGAGTCCACATTTGGTTTAACAGACTTTGATGAGGATCACTTTCTGTCGATACCAGGGAGTAGCTGAGGAAGATATTTGCATTTGAAAAGCCAGAAAGCAGCATAATGAGTTTTTAAAGAGGCTAAATCAGAGAGCTGCTTTGCTGTACACTGTTCCGCAGTAATTCCCTTGGAGTGGCCTTGAGTCCATCCCCTGTGGTTTTGCTCAGCTAATGATGAATTGCATAGCTGCCTTCTATACAGTGCCTACTGCAGCAAAACACAGAGTCAGAAACTTAGAAACGCATTGAAAACTCCAAGCTATATCACAGCTTGTCAGCCAGTCAGATTTGCCAATGTCTTTTTGTATTTTTGTAACATTTTAACCTTGTAACATTACAATTTATTGTACATATTTGCAATAAGTTCACTCTTAAAAATGGGGTTTTCGCAGTGATGCCCTAGAACAGTGTCCAAACCTGTGCCTGGAGGGCCACTGTCCTGCAGAGTTTAGCTTCAACCCTAACTAAACACATCTGAACCAGCTAATCAAGGGCTGAATCCAAAATCGCTCCCTATACCCTTGTTCGCTATTCCCTACATTAGGCCACTAATACAGTTCACTTGAAGGAGTAAATGAAAACAAGTCAGTTAATTTGGGCACTGAGTTCACCGGGAGGACTGCCGCTTTTGTAGAGTTTGTGCTTGTTGTTTAATAATTATTTGAAACTGGCAAATTTGCAGCTAAAGATAGCAAAAATGATTCCATTATTTAAGAAGTGAAGCAGACAGGGTCCAGGAAATTATCCACCAGTTTCTATATTGAGTGTTGTTTCTAAAATAATAGAAAAGTGGTGTTCAAGCAGATTTATGAGAATTGAAGTAAAAAATAAATGAATTTATGATTTTCAGTCAGGTTTTAGAAAGTCTTATTCAACTGACACTTGCTTATTATATTTAACAGATTTTATTAGGAAAGAGACTGATAGAGGAAACGTGGTATATTTCTGCTGGATCTGCAGAAAGCTTTTGATACTGTTAACCATTCAATATTATTAGACAAAGTAAGTGCTCTTGGTTTTTTTATGTACAGTAAAATCTTGGTTGGCTTCTTATCTAACAGGGAGAGTGCTGAAGGTAGACGTGGGAGGGATATGTTCTGAGGGTAAAATTGTGAATAATGGGGTTCCGCAGGGCAGCGTACTTGGTCCACTATTGTTTTTATCATATATAAATTATATTCAGGCTGCATGTGAGGGAAATATGTTTTTATATGCTGATGCTGCTGCTCTTTTAGTCACAGATATGGAGACTGGACGAATTCAGGAGAAATTATGTGAGGAGCTTGTTAAGGTGAAGGAATGACTGACTGAAAATAAGCTTTTTATTACATCTAGGTAAATCAGAATCCATTCTCTTTGGGTCAAATTATAATTTGCTTAAGGCAAAGAACTTTAAAAAGTTAATCCTAGAATCAAATACATTGCAAGATATACTAGTTTTTTAGTGAACATTTAAGGGTGCTTGCTATAGGACTTGTTCAATGTCATTTTGAGTATGCTTGTAACTCTTAGATGATTGATTTATCTAGTATGTGGATGGCAAAATTACAAAAGTCACAAAACAAACTGTTGAGATTAGTTTTAGGATTACAATGTTTTAGTCATGTGGAAAATAGACACTTTCAGCAGCTTGGATGGTTAACTATTGAAAAAAGATTGGCACTTCTGAATCTAAAAATGGTACATTCAGTGTATTTTAATTCTTATTTTTCCCAGGTTAAATTAAGACATGGTTATTTTACTAGACAGAGCATTATGGATCTTCATTTATGCAGGTTTAAGACTTTGTATGGACAAAGGGCTTTTGCGTATTCAGGTGCACAGGAGTGGAATAAGTTGTCTTTGGACAGGGTTTTAGTAAAAGAGTGAAGAAAATGTTTTTAGATAGGCTGTCTTAAATTTGACAGATTTGGATTATTGTACTGTTGTGAAGATTGCCTCTGTTGTGTGTGTTTGAGTGTGAAAATTATATTTATGTTTTGTAATTAGTATGAAATATATACCAAAAATGCCTGTCGTCACTAAAATTGTTTTCTTAAATCAAGGACCACAATGGAAATATGCCTTCTGGCGAGACGCAACAATTCATTCGCCGCGTGACTCTCACAGTGCATTATGGGTATTCTCTAGCTGTTGAGCATACATCAGTTGTTATTGCTGTGCATTGTGGGATTGAATGAGTGCACTCGATAATGTCCAATAAGGTTTCAGACACCACTAAAAATGCCTGTCCCCTCAAATGTGTGCCCTATTTAAGGGTATAGGGGCAATTTCGAACACAGTGAAGGTCTTCAGACTCACTAGAAACTTTTAGGCAAGCAATTTGGATCTGGTTGGAGCTAAAATCTGCAGGACGTTGGCCCTCCAGGAGCAGGATTGGACACCCCTGCCATAGAATAAATATTTTTAGTTCCCCAAAGAACCTTACAATGACCTTAAAATATTTTTTTTTCCTGCTGTGAGGAACATTTTAATAATCTAAAGAACCTTTTTCCATAAAAACCTTTTGTGCAATGGAAGGCTACAGATGCCAAAACCATAGATCTTTAAATGAGAATTGTAGACTGACTCTAGCACTTGTGTCCTCAGGTAAAGAGCGGGGTCGACCCATAATTAACCTGTTGAGTTCTCCCAGAGAGACTCGTGCTGGTATGAGGGAGCACAGCCCCATCCCCAGCCCAGAGACCATGGCCATGTTGGAGGATATGGCCTGCAAGCTGCTCAACGCGGATGAGGTGGCGGCTGTCATGAGACACTGTAAAAGGGTGAGTTATCTAAATGTCTGCTGGGTTGGAAAAATGTCTCAATTATGACTTTATACACGACAAGTTTACAGGTTTATTCTTTTTTGTTTGTTTTTAAATGTTTATGTGGATAACTAGAAAAGGCATCTGAATTCTACAGTACACTGTAAAAAAAAATTTTATCCTAAAAACGTCTTTCAATGTAGGCAATGCTATGGTTGTCCTGATAAAGCTCTTGAAGTACTGACAGACCATATTACTTCATTACTTCAAAATTGTATTTGTATTGACAGTTTGTGAGCCCTAAATTGCAAGAGTGTTTTGTGCTTTAGACAAATTTGGTGAGATTTAGACTGTCTAATCCCTGTGCTGGTGACTAGTTCACATTATCAGGACTAAATCGCTGAACTAGGGCATCTCCTCCTGTAGTTTCTAGTTGAGCGTGTGGTTGAGGATCTGGTGCGCCCCCTGCTGGCCATCTTGGACAAGCCTGAGAAGCTTCTGCTGCTGAGGGAGGTTAGGTAAGGAGTGTTAAAATGTCAGCCTCTGAAATGCATATATTCATATATCTCCTGCACTACTCATGCAGTCACTTACTTTACTTATATTTGGAATGTTTTAATTTAGCATTCACTTTCTTTTATGTAGAATGATCATCCCTCCCACAGATCTGGGCCGTTTTGACAGTATGGTTTTGCCCTTTGAGCTTGAAACCTATGACATACTAAAAAAACGCTCTGGTAAGAAAACATTTAACTTGAAACTTAAGCTTTTTAAATTTTCAGTCAAAAGTTTAGATACCTACTAATTTTGTATTATGGATGTTTTCCATAAATTAGAGTAATAATACAACTCAAGTAGAAGCATGGGAATTATATAGTGACCAAACAAACAAACAAAGCAATATTTTAGCTGAGCTTCTGTCAAACAGCATCCTGGGATGATTTTAATAACATTTAACAAATTCATATATATGTTGAGCACTTGATGCTTTTCCTTGATATAAATCGTCCAAAAAAATAAAAATAAATAAATATAAAACTGTAGTTTTGTAAAGAAATTCATAAGAAAAATCTGGATTTTAATCTGAATCCAGTGTCATTAATGTGAATTATTTATAAAGTGTTTTTGTGGTTCCCCAGTAAGGTCTCCTGTCCTGCGTTCTCCTCGTCATGGTGGAACACCCCGTCGCCATCTAATAACTCCCATCCCAGGTAACCTCCTTCTGGTGTGAACTGGAATCCTATTTCTTCATTTCTCTTGTTTTTACTCATCCATTTTTCAGTGCTGTGCAATGTCCTTCAGCTGATCCCTGTAGGAAATTATATAACCAGAAGACACAAAATCTCCTCTGAACCAGCTATTTCATATCCTGAAATGAATGTCTGACTGTATACACTACAAATTTCCTGTTGCTGATATTTAATCCACACACACAATCCCTCTCATCTAAAACCCTTGTTACTGTACACTACCATCACTTTTTGATAATAATCCTGTGCAGTTGTAAGCTGCCATTTAGGACACAAATGCATAATTTGCAGGATGCCGAACATGCATCACTGCCAAAAGAAGATAATCTGTCTCTTATTGCCATATAGCCTGCCTGTTTCTTTCTGCTGCTGACACTGCATGACCTCCTAACCTCTAACCTTAGAGTGCACAGTGCCCGCTGTCATTGTCCACAGTGTTGGGCTGCAATGAGCCTCTGACTTTTGAATGGAAGTTGTTTCTGAAATGCAAGAAAGGCGCCTTGCATTGTTTAACCTTCAAGCGTCCACCCACGCAGGTCTGAGGCTTAATGCAGCTCCTTTGTAATGTCCACAGAGGAGTAATTCAAAACTCTCTGTGCTAGAGGCCCCTGAAATCTGAGCGAGATGTGCGTGTATGCAACGCCACACCGCTGCTTACTCAATGGATATGAATGTGTGATTGTCGCTCACATTTCTGGATGAAAGGGAAAGTGTGTGTGAGGTTTCGTAACATCTGCACTGATTTAAGGAGATGTAAATGAATTCAGCTTTTATACCATTTATATGTATGTTCGTGGGAGGAGGAACTCTTTGAGTCTGAATTCTCAGTTGTATTTATATACCTATAATTTTACCTATATGGTACTATGTTACAATAATGAAATCAGATGGCAATACCATGTACCTTGACATCCAGCAGCCCCCAAAAATATTTTGACATTTTAGCCACACTTACGCAGTTAGGAATAGTTGACCCTGGGTCATTCTAAACCCCGGGTAAACAGAAGCCTGTATATTGCTCTGAATGGACTTTTCGGACTAAAATGGTAGGAACAAATCAGTCTCTTCTTAACTCAAATATGAGGGCTGTGATTGGATGTCTGTTGCTAAGCATCTAGCTGTAATATTTCAATGGCGCAAAAGTGGTGCTAACCCTTCACAAGAGACAGGTTTCATAATTTCAGGTAAAAGTGGTGCTAACACCACTACTCAGAGCTGGGTAGTAACTGATTACATGTAATCTGGATTATGTAATCAGATTAAAAAAATCAAGTACTTGTAATAAGAGTATATTACGTTTTATAATGCTCATAATCAGATTACAGTTACTTTTTATGGATTACATTACATTACATTACATTACATAATATGCACACAATGGCAGTAAATTATTAATAATTTATTGGTTCTCCCTAATTGTTCTTTTTCTCTTTTACATTTTCCTTTCTAAAAAGCCTACTGTTTGTCATGCTATTTAGCTTTGACTATATTCACAAAATTGAATGGTCATGAAAATGTCATAAAAATAATTTTGCAATCCATGCTTCTGAACCTCTCAAGCAATTAGTCCATATATGAAAGAAAGGGATTCCCAAACGTTTTTGTCAGCTAAACCCCTTTGACATTAAATATTTACTTTATATATCTCTCAGGAAGGTAATATTTTAATAATTTAACACATTCGCATATTTACAGTTCAATGTGTCGTGCAGGTAAACAAATGAAATATTATTATTTTTAATGTTCAAAGTTTAAATAATTTATTTTACATTTTTATGATTTACTTAATTATTAGCTTTTTATCAACTCACAGACCCACTGCAGCTCTTACATTAAGCCCAGTTTGGGAAACCCTGGTTTAATGTAATGTTTGATTACATTTTATGATGTTGATATAAAAAGGGAATATATTTTCTCTCTCTGCGGTTTTGTATCAATATTGTATGTTTAATGGCAAGATTAAAACAAGTTGGATAAAAAGTTATCTGAAAGTAATCTAAAAAGTAGTCAAAATACATGACCTAAAATGAGTAACCTAGATTGTGTTACTAACTACAGTTTTCATCATGTAATTTGTAATCAGTAATGGACTACAATTTGTAAGTAATCTACTCAGCTCTGCCGCTACTAAAGGCTGGAATACAGTACATGACTTTAAAAATCTGAACATATTTTAAACATTAGGCATCATACAATTTTCAACGTTGTAATACCAGACTTTAAAATCTTTGTGATCACAGCAAACTCACGCAGAAATGTGTGCCTTGTATCTAGGAGATGTATGATAAATGAAATCAATACCTGTCCTAAAATCAGCTCAAAATATCAAACATGTTTGATATCCTCTGACTGGATGAAATCTGAAGCTATGAGTCTGTCACCATCATACACTATGTGATTTTCTTTGAAATCAGTCAGCTCAAATCTGCTGACTGGTTTGAGTTTTGGCAACTAGCATCAACTTCTCCTGGCTGTAAATCAGGGCAAAAATCTAGGCAAAAATCGTGTAGTGCATTCCAGCCTTAAATGACAAGTCTCTAACGTTCCTTTACCCTTTAAAAGTGGGGTTTAGAGTGATGATAACCTGCGATTATGCTTAGAATGTGTGAGAAATGGTTTTAATATCCCCTTGAATCACAGATTATCGGGGTGGATTCCACCTTCAGCCGGTACAGGATCTGGAGAGAGAACGGCAGCTCATCAAAGATCTGGAACGGATGCGTTTGGCAGGTTTACCGACTGGACGGCTTCCTCCTCCTCGAGCTTTCACACCACTCTTGGATGTACCAGTGGACACTTACATCACAGACTCGCTCCGTAATCATTCACTGAGTCCTGCTCGGCCCAGCTGGACACACTCAGAGTCTCCTCACGGCACGGAACGCATCGGACGCTCCCCCCAGAGAAGAGACAACGGTGTCCTCAGGACATCACACCATGACTCTTTATCCAGCAGGGGTGATTCTATCCCAGTGCGAGGGAGATCCCCTTATAGGAATGGTCATCGAATGAAAACAGACAAATCCCAGAATGGTAAAGAGGTAAAGCATACCGTAATGAGTGCACACCGCCGGAGTAGGACACCATTGACCCAGGTTTTTGCGCCCAGCTCGGATCAGGACTGGAAAGAACCAGTGAATGGACATTCAGACAGCCAAGAAACCCCACCAGAGCAGGAGTATGAACTAACCACAGTTACTATCTCTAAGACCAAACAGTCCCTTGGTGAGTTACTCGGAGTCACTGTATTGTGGCTTTGTGGCAACGTTTCTCAAATGACAAACATCCCATTTCTCTCTGACCAAAATAACTTGATTATATATTTATGAAATGTTAATACAGCTTGGCTATGTAAAAGTTGCCCCCACAAAGCTAGGGTGTTTTGGGTGGTTGCCAGGTTGCTCTGCAGTTTTTTTAAATCATGTTGCTATGTGGATTATAGAATGTTCTGGGCTGCTTGGTGGTTTCCAAATTCCCACACTCAAGCCTCTATTATATTTTGATCCATAGACATGGTTTAGGTCCCTCCTTCATTGTGAATCATGACATTTGTATCATTCACCAGGGAAATATGATCAATTTGATCACTTAGAAAAGTCATCTCTCCTCATACTCAAAAAAAGGCCAATTATTGTCGGTAATATAAACAGCGCTTGATGAGTTACATACCAAAGTTTAATACTTAGGGTTAGAGTTTGTTCAGATCTCTGTTTGTGAGTATGAGTAATAGTATGACTAAAGCTTGTTAATACAGTAGATTTGCAGAGCATGTGATTCATTCTGGACCCACAATCAAAAAAGGCACAAAAGCTGTCTTTAAAAAGGCCTTTAAAAAGGTACTAAGATGTACACTTTTGGTACTAGTACAGTATGTACCTTTAAGGTACTAATATGCACCTTTAAAGCTAAATAAGGTACAAAAGTGTACCTTTTGAAAAGGTACTACCCCAGTAATGGCTTTTGTACCTTTTTTCTGAGTATGTAGCGTACACTGACAAAATAAGAAATAAGAACTTTGTGGGAAAAAGACCATATAATCACTGATAGATTAGTATTAAAGAAGAGATTCTCCTTCAGTTATTCTTCTCACCTCACCAGAAGATGGCAGTGAATTGCCCAGTGAGATAATAGAGTGCACTCCCATTCAAGAAGGTCTATAATGGTCCTGGAGAAAGCTAAACGTTTTTATTTCTGTTCATCTTAATGACACATCTGCTGACATCTCTAATATGTTTTGTCTAGACTGGAATCAGCATCTGTTACTTTTATGGCACAATTAAAATATCAGTTTTCCACATCCATCCAAACAAAAGGCCTACAATATAAGAATATAAATGGTGTAGATGAATTGGTTATACAGTGTTTGTTTCATGCATATATAGAGAGTTGAAGTCATCATTAACATGTGGATGGCTAGATGATTCTTATTATTCTTTTTGCAGGAATAAGCATCTCAGGTGGGATTGAGTCAAAGGTGCAGCCAATGGTGAAGATAGAGAAGATCTTTCCAGGAGGAGCAGCATCTACTAGTAATGTTCTGAAGGTAACTGATCCTCATATAGACTCATCTACAGTAGGCTAAGCAGTGTTGCAGTCTAGACAAGGCTTATTTGAAACAGAACAGAACAGAAGTGTGACTAGGTTGAGTCCGACTCTAGGCCAAGACCAGAAGAGAGTCAAGTTCACATGTTTCTGAGTCTATTACAAGACCAAGACACTGACAATATGGCCTTGGACTCTGACTTGGGAGCATGTGGACTCTGTCTTGACTCTGGTCTTGGTCTCAGACTTGAATGAGCTGGTTTGATCTATAACACTGATGCAAATTATGCACAGGGCATCATGTGTCCAGTGAGTGACCAACCATTGTTTGATTTTTGAGCAGGAAATTTTTTAAATCGAACAAGACAAAGTGGAATATGTTCTCAAGAGAAGCATCTACTGCAACCAAGTGTCTCACACAAACACCTTTTTCAAATTCTATACCATTGCTGCAAATAATGTATAAGGATATTGCTGGTAGGATTCGTCCTAGCATTATTAGTTGATGAATAGTGTGTTTGTCACCCAATCATTATTAGGAAGGTCTGGTAATGATCAATGGCTGCAGGCCTTGTGATTTCTGTTTTGGTTACAGCTAGCACTCAGTTACGTTAGCTGAGCGCAGAGGCATTTTATATGCTTAAGTGGTACAACTCATTCATCACTGATGGATTACATCAACCAGACCACAAAACACAATATTTGAGTCAGCTGCTTCTTTTTAAGGAAGCTTTCTCCACATAACAACACATGCTGTACATCTCTATTGGAAAGACCAGCTTGGTCCAGGCTGGTTTACTCTGGTTAGTTCTAGTTTGGTGCTGGTCTTGCTGGTAGACCATGATGGAGCTGGTAGATCAAGCACGAAGCTGGATGTCACACTAGTCATTTCAGCTGGTGTACTGTACAAACATTTTATGTACCACCGTGTCTACACAACATCCAGGTCTTTGCATCTGTAAGAAATGAGGCAGAATGAGGGCAAAAGGTCACAGAAGTTGAGGGCACGATACCAACAGCACCTCTGTTACCCAGCATAAAAGGTTAAAACCCTGGAATCCCATGTGTGTATGTACACTTGTGTGTGTGTTTGTCAAGAGAAGCCGCATCCTTGTCGATTACAGCCTATCAAGTGACAGCATTTCCCTGGCCTGCTCTGAGAGGCTTGTGTTGCCACACTCAGGAGATCTGGTGTCAGGCTCAAAACCCCTCAGTTGCCAAGAACATCCACTCATCTCTGGCCTCCAGCTGGACTTGGTGTGAAAGACTAGAGGGTATTTCCATTCATACCAAAGGCTGACTAATTTACATTCCACTCAATTCACTTGTTGTCTCACCCTGAAGCCGCGAGAGGCTCTTCAGAACGGCTATCTTCACTGAGCTCTGCAGATTAACAGGCCTGCAGAGGGAAAGTGTGGAGCGCCCTGTTGACATGCTTCCTGTTCCTGTTGTCTAACTGATAACTGTATTATCTGAGCGGCAAGTATGCTCCAGCAGCATGGAGGTCAGGTTTCTGTCACCCATTGTCTGCAGTCACATCCCTCTTATCAAACGTTGTTGACACGCATGGCAGATGGAGGTCAGGTGTTGTGTATGTGTTGGGGCTCCATAGAGTCTGCTCTTTCGGCTCATGTGTAATTAGTCCAGCACTCTCTTTTCCATTTTAATTATAGTCTGTTGTGTTGATCTTGATAGTCATTCTTCAGCTTATAAATACAGAGGGCTTCAGTTTAATAACAGAACTATATTTGGGCATTTTCTGGAGAAAATGTCAAGGGTCTTGCCACCACAAGGGGGCTTGATAACTTTCCCTGTATTTGCTAAGCCATAGGGTGTTCTGAGTGGTTGCTAGAGTGGTGGTTGATGACATGATGGTTGATGATATGTTATATATCAAAAAAATTGCAAGTAACTTTTAACCTGCACTGTCTGGCCCAAATTTGTGAATTCAAAAGCCATGCAATCTGAAAATATTTGAAAATATGTTTCTATTCCGCTGTATGAGCGCCAAACACATTGATTTTTACTCTTCCCTGAGTCATCTTCTTTCTCTCTCTCTCTTCATGCACACAGTGATGTACTCTGCTATCCGCTGATAAATGACTCCGCTTGTCCTCTGAAACCATAGAAAGCTTTGGTGATTTGTTTTTAGTCAAAAAGGCAGATAGCATACAAAAAAGACTGATGATGTCCCTGCGGTCTCCTTCATGTAAGTGCTGTTTGAAGAGAATGTCAGCTTAAACAAATCTTAGGCCCCTAAATGGCCATAAAGGGACACAAACAGAGTGTGTTGCATTAAGTATAATGTTTTGAAATACTCTTAATAATGCTCTTAAGTAGTTCTTGTGTTCTACTTTTGGGTTCACTCTCCATGACTGGAATAGTCTTAGCCATGCACGGCTCATCTGTAAGGGCAGGTGGGGCCAAAAATATTCACCCAAAACATAGACCTCTGTATAAACTGAATAAATAATAAACTATAAATGTGTTCAGCATTCTGCAACAAATATTTTCCAAATTTTCTTGACAATTTTAAGTCATAAAGTGCGCAGGATATATTCATCGCAAGCTTCGGCATGTACGTAAAATGATACTCAGTGGGGCAGTTGTGACAGTGCCCTCCCGAACTGCAGCCCACAAATTTTAAATGGTAAATCTGTGGTGAAAAGTGGAACTGCAGCACGCTCTAACAGCCATTTGGGCAGTTTTGAGCCTGCCCTGCTTCTTTTCATGTTACCTTATCTTGCTCCAGATCAAGACAATATCAGTCAGCTTTAGCTATATGTGTCTGCATCAGGTCAGTAACTAGCTGACAAGTCTGTTTTTCCTATGTGGAGTAGTGTTTTAAATGAATAAAAGTGTTAATCCTTTAGTTTAAATGTGCTCACGTGAAAAGCCTTTATATAGTTCTGTTGTGTTTGTTTTGAGATGAGACGTGATATTCGTTTCCTCACTTAAATTCCTCTACAACTTGTAACATTCTAAATCAACACTCGGAGACAATATTAAGGCAATAATTCAATTGCATTCTATGTATGTGTACTTTGAGCCTGTCGATCAACATTAGATCTCTGCCAAAAGTGTGTGTGCATGTGTTCAGCGATTAGACTAGAAAGACTATAAGCTTTCTTGAGTTTATAATAAACTAGCACTACCACCCAGAATCTGCCTAAATTTACCAAAAGTGGACTGCGAAGTGGACTTCACAAGGTATTCCGCCAGATTCCAATCCGAAGGGAGCGTACATGTTCAGTTCGAAGGGCACTGCAAACGTCATAGGCAATAAGGGCACATCGATATATCACTTCACAGGAAGTGGAGAGGGAAAATCACCCAACTGTCATTGCGCACCGTGTCACCAGTTAGAACTAACAATGGAGCAGAGCCGTTGAAAGAGTTTTTTAAAGGCTCTGCAATGGAGCGGTTGCAATAAATGTTGTTATTATTATACATATTATTTATAGTATTTAGTAGCATAGTAGGATTCATAGTATTTATGAATGGTTATGGCGATGAATGTTATATTTGCATATTGTATTGTATGAATAGGTGAAACAAAGTTAAACCAGTGAGAAACAGCTGAGGCTCTGTCATTTTTTATTTTCAGCTTGCTCTTTAAAAGCGGACGCAGGAGGGAAAGGTCGTCCTCCAAAGACAGGAAGGACAAAGGGACAGGGGACGGACACAGAGGAAGATCCAAATCCCCGAAACATTTAGATAACGAACCGGGTGAGTCCACATTTGGTTTAACAGACTTTGATGAGGATCACTTTCTGTCGATACCAGGGAGTAGCTGAGGAAGATATTTGCATTTGAAAAGCCAGAAAGCAGCATAATGAGTTTTTAAAGAGGCTAAATCAGAGAGCTGCTTTGCTGTACACTGTTCCGCAGTAATTCCCTTGGAGTGGCCTTGAGTCCATCCCCTGTGGTTTTGCTCAGCTAATGATGAATTGCATAGCTGCCTTCTATACAGTGCCTACTGCAGCAAAACACAGAGTCAGAAACTTAGAAACGCATTGAAAACTCCAAGCTATATCACAGCTTGTCAGCCAGTCAGATTTGCCAATGTCTTTTTGTATTTTTGTAACATTTTAACCTTGTAACATTACAATTTATTGTACATATTTGCAATAAGTTCACTCTTAAAAATGGGGTTTTCGCAGTGATGCCCTAGAACAGTGTCCAAACCTGTGCCTGGAGGGCCACTGTCCTGCAGAGTTTAGCTTCAACCCTAACTAAACACATCTGAACCAGCTAATCAAGGGCTGAATCCAAAATCGCTCCCTATACCCTTGTTCGCTATTCCCTACATTAGGCCACTAATACAGTTCACTTGAAGGAGTAAATGAAAACAAGTCAGTTAATTTGGGCACTGAGTTCACCGGGAGGACTGCCGCTTTTGTAGAGTTTGTGCTTGTTGTTTAATAATTATTTGAAACTGGCAAATTTGCAGCTAAAGATAGCAAAAATGATTCCATTATTTAAGAAGTGAAGCAGACAGGGTCCAGGAAATTATCCACCAGTTTCTATATTGAGTGTTGTTTCTAAAATAATAGAAAAGTGGTGTTCAAGCAGATTTATGAGAATTGAAGTAAAAAATAAATGAATTTATGATTTTCAGTCAGGTTTTAGAAAGTCTTATTCAACTGACACTTGCTTATTATATTTAACAGATTTTATTAGGAAAGAGACTGATAGAGGAAACGTGGTATATTTCTGCTGGATCTGCAGAAAGCTTTTGATACTGTTAACCATTCAATATTATTAGACAAAGTAAGTGCTCTTGGTTTTTTTATGTACAGTAAAATCTTGGTTGGCTTCTTATCTAACAGGGAGAGTGCTGAAGGTAGACGTGGGAGGGATATGTTCTGAGGGTAAAATTGTGAATAATGGGGTTCCGCAGGGCAGCGTACTTGGTCCACTATTGTTTTTATCATATATAAATTATATTCAGGCTGCATGTGAGGGAAATATGTTTTTATATGCTGATGCTGCTGCTCTTTTAGTCACAGATATGGAGACTGGACGAATTCAGGAGAAATTATGTGAGGAGCTTGTTAAGGTGAAGGAATGACTGACTGAAAATAAGCTTTTTATTACATCTAGGTAAATCAGAATCCATTCTCTTTGGGTCAAATTATAATTTGCTTAAGGCAAAGAACTTTAAAAAGTTAATCCTAGAATCAAATACATTGCAAGATATACTAGTTTTTTAGTGAACATTTAAGGGTGCTTGCTATAGGACTTGTTCAATGTCATTTTGAGTATGCTTGTAACTCTTAGATGATTGATTTATCTAGTATGTGGATGGCAAAATTACAAAAGTCACAAAACAAACTGTTGAGATTAGTTTTAGGATTACAATGTTTTAGTCATGTGGAAAATAGACACTTTCAGCAGCTTGGATGGTTAACTATTGAAAAAAGATTGGCACTTCTGAATCTAAAAATGGTACATTCAGTGTATTTTAATTCTTATTTTTCCCAGGTTAAATTAAGACATGGTTATTTTACTAGACAGAGCATTATGGATCTTCATTTATGCAGGTTTAAGACTTTGTATGGACAAAGGGCTTTTGCGTATTCAGGTGCACAGGAGTGGAATAAGTTGTCTTTGGACAGGGTTTTAGTAAAAGAGTGAAGAAAATGTTTTTAGATAGGCTGTCTTAAATTTGACAGATTTGGATTATTGTACTGTTGTGAAGATTGCCTCTGTTGTGTGTGTTTGAGTGTGAAAATTATATTTATGTTTTGTAATTAGTATGAAATATATACCAAAAATGCCTGTCGTCACTAAAATTGTTTTCTTAAATCAAGGACCACAATGGAAATATGCCTTCTGGCGAGACGCAACAATTCATTCGCCGCGTGACTCTCACAGTGCATTATGGGTATTCTCTAGCTGTTGAGCATACATCAGTTGTTATTGCTGTGCATTGTGGGATTGAATGAGTGCACTCGATAATGTCCAATAAGGTTTCAGACACCACTAAAAATGCCTGTCCCCTCAAATGTGTGCCCTATTTAAGGGTATAGGGGCAATTTCGAACACAGTGAAGGTCTTCAGACTCACTAGAAACTTTTAGGCAAGCAATTTGGATCTGGTTGGAGCTAAAATCTGCAGGACGTTGGCCCTCCAGGAGCAGGATTGGACACCCCTGCCATAGAATAAATATTTTTAGTTCCCCAAAGAACCTTACAATGACCTTAAAATATTTTTTTTTCCTGCTGTGAGGAACATTTTAATAATCTAAAGAACCTTTTTCCATAAAAACCTTTTGTGCAATGGAAGGCTACAGATGCCAAAACCATAGATCTTTAAATGAGAATTGTAGACTGACTCTAGCACTTGTGTCCTCAGGTAAAGAGCGGGGTCGACCCATAATTAACCTGTTGAGTTCTCCCAGAGAGACTCGTGCTGGAATGAGGGAGCACAGCCCCATCCCCAGCCCAGAGACCATGGCCATGTTGGAGGATATGGCCTGCAAGCTGCTCAACGCGGATGAGGTGGCGGCTGTCATGAGACACTGTAAAAGGGTGAGTTATCTAAATGTCTGCTGGGTTGGAAAAATGTCTCAATTATGACTTTATACACGACAAGTTTACAGGTTTATTCTTTTTTGTTTGTTTTTAAATGTTTATGTGGATAACTAGAAAAGGCATCTGAATTCTACAGTACACTGTAAAAAAAAATTTTATCCTAAAAACGTCTTTCAATGTAGGCAATGCTATGGTTGTCCTGATAAAGCTCTTGAAGTACTGACAGACCATATTACTTCATTACTTCAAAATTGTATTTGTATTGACAGTTTGTGAGCCCTAAATTGCAAGAGTGTTTTGTGCTTTAGACAAATTTGGTGAGATTTAGACTGTCTAATCCCTGTGCTGGTGACTAGTTCACATTATCAGGACTAAATCGCTGAACTAGGGCATCTCCTCCTGTAGTTTCTAGTTGAGCGTGTGGTTGAGGATCTGGTGCGCCCCCTGCTGGCCATCTTGGACAAGCCTGAGAAGCTTCTGCTGCTGAGGGAGGTTAGGTAAGGAGTGTTAAAATGTCAGCCTCTGAAATGCATATATTCATATATCTCCTGCACTACTCATGCAGTCACTTACTTTACTTATATTTGGAATGTTTTAATTTAGCATTCACTTTCTTTTATGTAGAATGATCATCCCTCCCACAGATCTGGGCCGTTTTGACAGTATGGTTTTGCCCTTTGAGCTTGAAACCTATGACATACTAAAAAAACGCTCTGGTAAGAAAACATTTAACTTGAAACTTAAGCTTTTTAAATTTTCAGTCAAAAGTTTAGATACCTACTAATTTTGTATTATGGATGTTTTCCATAAATTAGAGTAATAATACAACTCAAGTAGAAGCATGGGAATTATATAGTGACCAAACAAACAAACAAAGCAATATTTTAGCTGAGCTTCTGTCAAACAGCATCCTGGGATGATTTTAATAACATTTAACAAATTCATATATATGTTGAGCACTTGATGCTTTTCCTTGATATAAATCGTCCAAAAAAATAAAAATAAATAAATATAAAACTGTAGTTTTGTAAAGAAATTCATAAGAAAAATCTGGATTTTAATCTGAATCCAGTGTCATTAATGTGAATTATTTATAAAGTGTTTTTGTGGTTCCCCAGTAAGGTCTCCTGTCCTGCGTTCTCCTCGTCATGGTGGAACACCCCGTCGCCATCTAATAACTCCCATCCCAGGTAACCTCCTTCTGGTGTGAACTGGAATCCTATTTCTTCATTTCTCTTGTTTTTACTCATCCATTTTTCAGTGCTGTGCAATGTCCTTCAGCTGATCCCTGTAGGAAATTATATAACCAGAAGACACAAAATCTCCTCTGAACCAGCTATTTCATATCCTGAAATGAATGTCTGACTGTATACACTACAAATTTCCTGTTGCTGATATTTAATCCACACACACAATCCCTCTCATCTAAAACCCTTGTTACTGTACACTACCATCACTTTTTGATAATAATCCTGTGCAGTTGTAAGCTGCCATTTAGGACACAAATGCATAATTTGCAGGATGCCGAACATGCATCACTGCCAAAAGAAGATAATCTGTCTCTTATTGCCATATAGCCTGCCTGTTTCTTTCTGCTGCTGACACTGCATGACCTCCTAACCTCTAACCTTAGAGTGCACAGTGCCCGCTGTCATTGTCCACAGTGTTGGGCTGCAATGAGCCTCTGACTTTTGAATGGAAGTTGTTTCTGAAATGCAAGAAAGGCGCCTTGCATTGTTTAACCTTCAAGCGTCCACCCACGCAGGTCTGAGGCTTAATGCAGCTCCTTTGTAATGTCCACAGAGGAGTAATTCAAAACTCTCTGTGCTAGAGGCCCCTGAAATCTGAGCGAGATGTGCGTGTATGCAACGCCACACCGCTGCTTACTCAATGGATATGAATGTGTGATTGTCGCTCACATTTCTGGATGAAAGGGAAAGTGTGTGTGAGGTTTCGTAACATCTGCACTGATTTAAGGAGATGTAAATGAATTCAGCTTTTAAACCATTTATTAGTATGTTTGTGGGAGGAGGAACTTGTGTGTGAATGCGATTAAATTCTTTGATTCTGAATTCTCTATAAATTTACATGTGTCTATAGTGGTACTGTGGTACAGTAATGATATCAGATGGCAATGCCTTGTACTGTACCTTGACATCCAGCAGCCCCCCAATTTTTTTTTTATATTTTAGCCACACTTACAGTTGGTGTAAAAAGGACTTTTCAAACTGGAAATAGTTAACCCGGGGTAAATTTTAACCTCGGGTAAACAGAATCCTATATATTGCCCTGAATGGACTTTTGGACTATAAAGGTAAGAACAGAACAGTCTCTTAACTCAAATATGAGGCATGTAATTAGATGTCTTTTGCTAATCATCGAACCATAATATTGTAACACCACAATGTTTCACACTGCACAAGTTCAGCACCGTGATGCAGGGATAACAGTGCTAGCCCTGCTCCAGAGAAGGGTTTCATAAAAGGTGGTGCTAACCCCGCAACTAAATTACAAGTGTGTAAAATTCCTTTACCTGGGCTTAAAAGCGGGGTTTAGACTGATGATAACCTGGGGTTAAGCTCAGTGTGAAAAGAGTGTGAGAGTGTGTGAGAAATGGTTTTAAAGGGGTCATATGATGCTATTTTAAAGATCATTATTTTGTGTATTTGGTGTAACAGAATATGTTGACATGCTTTAATGTTCAAAAAACACATTATTTTTCAAATACTATACATTATTGTAGGTCCTCTATGCCCCGCCTCTCTCAAACCTTTTTATTTATTTATTTTTTTAAATAGCCTTTGTGCACAGCCAGCCTTGTACTCTTCTAGGTTCAAAAAACAGTTGTCCATAAAATGCGTTGCACAAATTAAATCATCTGGGTTGTGCTGTTCAGTTGTAAATCAATCTTAACCAATGATTGCTAATTGCATCTACTTCCGGAAGGCCAAATAAAGTGCTTTTGCTTTCGCACTGAAACACAGTGTCTCCCTGACATGGCTGAATCAACACGACTGCTGTTCCTGAAAGCACTCCTTCTTTCTTTGCGTGCACATTTGGGCGGCATTATGTTAATATTTCCACATAGTGACGTAGATATGTGGGGGCATGTTAGAACGAGCCGTTTTAGGTAGGCGTGGTTGACTCTTAACTTTTATAAAGAATATCTCTTTGGATTTGAGACTTTAGTCTTTGCAACTTTACAGATCTTCTGTATGCACCAAGAGCTTGTAATACTCCAAAGAGAAAGGAAAACTTGAAATCACATCATATGACCTCTTTAATATCCTCTTGTATCACAGATTACCGTGGTGGATTCCACCTTCAGCCAGTGCAAGATCTGGAGAGAGAACGGCAGCTCATTGAAGATCTGGAACTGCTGCGTTTGGCGGGTTTACCGACTGGACGACTTCCTCCTCCTCGAGCTTTCACACCTCTCTTGGATGTACCAGTGGACACTTACATCACAGACTCTCTTCGTAATCGTTCACTGAGTCCTGCTCGTCCTGGCTGGCCTCACTCAGAGTCTTCTCACGGCACGGAACGCATCGCACACTCCCCCCAGAGAAGAGACAACGGTTTCCCCAGGACATCACACCATGACTCTTTAACCAGCAGGGGTGATTATGTCCCAGAGCGAGGGAGATCCCCTTATAGGAATGGACCTAGAATAAAAACGGACAAATCCCAGAATGGTAAAGAGGTAAAGTATACTGTAATGAGTGCACACCGCCGGAGTAGGACCCCATTGACCCAGGTGTTTGCGCCCAGCTCAGATCAGGACTGGAAAGAACCAGTGAATGGACACTCAGACAGCCAAGAAACCCCACCAGAGCAAGAGTATGAACTATCCACGGTTTCTATCTCTAAGACCAAACAGTCCCTTGGTGAGTTACTTGGAGTCACTGAGTCCTGACTTTATGTGGAAATGTTTCTCAAATGACAGACATCCCATTTATCTCTGACTAAAATAACTTGATTATACATTTATGAAATGTTAATTCAGCTTGCCTATGCAAAAGTTGCCTCCACAATGCTAGGGTGTTTTGGGTGGTTGCCAGGTTGCACTGCAGTTTTTTAAATCATGTCGCTATGTGGATTATAGGGGGTTCTGGGTTGCTAGGTGGTTTCTTTTTGGCCCAAGTTACCACACTCATATCTCTTTTATATTTTGATCCATAGACATGGTTTAGGTCCCTCCGTCATTGTGAGTCATGACATTTTTATCATTCACCAGGGGAAAATTATGTTTGATCACCTAGAAAAGTAATCTCTGCTCAAGTCTGTAATATAAACAGTGCCTGATGAGTTACATTCCAAAGTTTAATACTTAGGGTTAGGGGTTTATTCAGATCTCTGTTTCTGAGTATAATAGTATGACTAAATCCTATTAATATAGTAGATTTGCAGAGCATGTGGTTCATTCTGGACCCACAATGTCCTACACTCTCAAAAATAAAAAGTTACAAAAGCTGTCACTGGGGTGGTTACCTTTTAAAAGGTATGTGTAAAAGGTATATGTACACTTTCAGTACTAATATGTACCTTTAAGTTACTAATATGCACCCTTTAGAGGTAAATAATGTATAAAAATTTACCCCTTGAAAATGTACTGCCCCAGTGTCAACTTTTTTTCTGAGAATGTAGTGTACACTGACAGAATAAGAAATAAGAACTTTGTGGAAAAAGACCATACAATCACTGATAGATTGATATTAAAGAAGAGATTCTCCTTCAGGTCTTCTTCTCTCCTCACCAGAAGATGGCAGTGAATTACCCAGTGCAAGAAGTAACCCAGCAGTAATAGAGTGCAGTCCCATTCAAGAAGGTCTATAATTGACTGGGAGAAAGCTAAACATTATTATTTCTATTTGTCTTAATGACAGTTGCTCAGCTGGTGGACATCTGCTGACATCTCTAATATGTTTAGTCTGGACTATTTTTATGGCACAATCAAAAGCTCAGTTTTCTACATGCATACAAGTAAACAGCCTACAACAATATAAGAATATAAATAATGTAATGTAATTGGTTATACAGTGTTTGTTTCTTGCATAGAGAGAGAGAGAGATGAAGTCATCGTTAACTTGTGGATGGCTAGATGATTCTTATTCTTTTTGCAGGAATAAGCATCTCAGGTGGGATTGAGTCAAAGGTGCAGCCAATGGTGAAGATAGAGAAGATCTTTCCAGGAGGAGCGGCATCTACTAGTGATGTTCTGAAGGTAACTGATCCTCTTTATATAGATTCAGCTACAGCAGGCTAAGCAGTGTTGTAGTCTAGACCAGGGGTTTTCAACCCTGTCCTGGAGGACCCCCAGCCCTGCACATTTATGTCTCCCTTATCATACACACCCAATTCAGGTCTTGCAGTCTGTACTGACGGGCTGATGAGTTGAATCAGGTGTTAGATGAGGGAGACATACAAAATGTGCAGGGCTGGGGGTCCTCCAGGACAGGGTTGAAAACCTCTGGTCTAGACAAGCATATTTGAGACACCCTTTACGAAAAAGAAGTTTATTCAAGTGTGCTATTAGTATACTTCTTTTAAACTAAAAATAGGAAAGTACAGAAGTCTGACTAGGTTGAATCAGACTCAAGGCCAAGACCAGAAGAGAATCAATTTCACGTTTCTGAGTCTATTACAAGACCAAGACACTGAAAATATGGTCGTGGACTCTGACTTGGGAGCATGTGGACGTGTCTTGACTCTCAACTATAACACTGATGCAAAGTATGCACAGGGCACCATATGTCCAGTGACCAACCATAGTTTTGCTTTTTGAATCTGAAATCAAACAAGGCAAAGTGGAATATGTTCTTAAGAGGAGCGTCTACTTGCAACTAAGTGTCACACACAAACTCTTTTAATAGATTTTATACCATTGCTGCAAATAATGTATAAGGATACTGCTGGTAGGATTCATCCTGGCATTATTATTTGATGAATAGTGTGTTTGACTCCCAATCATTATTAGGAGGGTCTGGTATCAACAGCTGCAGGCCTTTTGATTTCTGTTTTGGTTAAAGCTAGAACTCAGTTATGTTATGTAAGTGCAGAGGCATTTTTATATGCTTAAGTGGCGCAACTCATTCATCATTGATGAATTGCTTCAGCCAGGCCAGAAAACAATATTTGAGTCTGCTGCTTCTTTTTAAGGAAGCTTTACACACATAAGAACACATGCTGTACATCTCTACTGAAAAGACCAGCTTGGTCCAGGCTGGTTTACTCTGGTTAGTTCTAGTTTGGTGATGGTCTTACTGGTAGACCAACACGTTATTTTTTTTGTTCTGATGGACCTGTTAGATCAAGCACGAAGCTGGTTGTCATGCTACCGTGTTATGTGCCACCGTGTCTTGACAATATCCAGGTCTTTGCACCTGTACAAAGTGAGGCAGAATAAGGGCTAAAGGTCACAGCAGGCGAGGGCACGATACCAACAGCACCTCTGTGACCCCACATAAAAGGTTAACACCCTGGAATCCCATGTGTGTATGTGTACTTTTGTGTGTGTTTTTCAAGAGAAGTCGCATCCTTGTCGATTACAGCCTATCAGGTAACAGCACTTGCCACACTCAGGAGATCTGGTGTCAGGCTCAAAACCCTTCAGTTGCCAAGAACATCCACTCATCTCTGGCCTCCACCTGGACTTGGTGTGAAAGACTAGTGGGTATTTCCATTCATACCAAAGGCCGACTAATTTACATTCCACTCAATTCACTTGTTGTCTCACCCTGAAGCCGTGAGAGGCTCTTCAGAACGGCTATCTTCACTGAGCTCTGCAGATTAACAGGCCTGCAGAGGGAAAGTGTGGAGCGCCCCGTTGACATGCTTCCTGTTGTCTAACTGATAACTCTATTATCTGAGCGGCAAGTATGCTCCAGCAGCTTGGAGGTCAGGTTTCTGTCACACATTGTCTGCAGTCACATCCCTCTTATCAAACGTTGTTGACACACATGGCAGACGGAGGTCAGGTGTTGTGTATGTGGTGGGGCTCCATAGAGTCTACTCGTTCGACTCATGTGTAATTAGTCCAGCACTCTCTTTTCCATTTTAATTATAGTCTGTTGTGTTGATCTTGATAGTCATTCTTCAGCTTATAAATACAGAGGGCTTCAGTTTAATAACAGATTTCACTGTATTTAGAGATTTTCTGGAGAAAATTTCAGGGGTCTTTTGTCTGTGCAAAACTTGCCACCACAAGTTGGCTTGATCACTTTCCCAGTATTTGCTAATCCATTAGTGTGTTGTGAGTGGTTGCTAGGATGATGCTTGTGGTCGCTGAGACGTTCTGAGGGTTTTTTTTCTATCACATTACTATGTAGTTGCTAGAGTAATGGTTGATGACAATTCCTAATTGGGGGGGTTTGTCACCAGCATTCTTCAAAATACCTTCTTTTGTGTTTCACAGAAGAAATTACACTCTTAACTGAAAATAATAAGCCAAAATAATAAATGTTTTCCAGTTTTATTTATGTGAGAATGAAGAGAGAAATATAATGTCTCTATAAGAGGACAACAGTGTTTGTTCTGACCTATGAAGAGCATGAAAACAGACCCTGACCGCTAAGGATGGGTGTAGAGAGTTCACTAAACAGGTGCATCCTGGTAAGAGATCGTGACTGAGGAAATGTGCCTACTTTGAACTAAAGTGCGTTTGTGAGCTCAGCTGTACTTTGTACTTTTTTCCTGGCAGGAAAGACATAATTCCAAAAACACACTCCTGCATCTGTGTGAGTGTTTGACTTTTGGGTTATGCACACCTAGAGACTGGTGTACATTATTTGGTCCAGCTCACTCTGATTTGACTGTTTCCCTCTTATATTTAATTTAGCCTAATGCTGTTAGTTTTGTCAGAGATAGGATAATGAGTTTAGATGAGAGCTGGTGGATATGTCGTGTTTTTGACCTGAAACATCTGTGCTTCTGGTCTGCCAAAGGTTACAATCAGAGAGAAAAACATCCATTTCTGAAGTATAATAAGCTGATGTCATTCACTGGCAGAGCTTTGACACACACAGTCTGAAGCAGGCCAGATGAGATCATTCACAGGTATTAACGAAGGAGAACAAAGGAAACGACAGGCATCCTGTGCCTGCAGCATCTGCTTTTTCCTGCCATTCAGACAGCGCATGCCTGTCTGCGCTCTGCCAGAAATACTCAGGGATGTGTCAGGAAAACAGACATCTGCATTAATGATCAAGTCCTACACCTGAACTTTTCTAGAAATCTCTCTTTGTGTGTGTGTTTAGGCTGGATTCGAGCTGGTGTCGGTAGATGGAGAGTCCCTCCAAGGTGTTACACATCCGCACGCGGTGGATGCCATTCGAAGGGCTTTCAGCAACAAGGCCAAAGACCCCATGGAGTTTATCGTCAAAGTTCCCAAGAACCCGAGAGACTGACTGAAACAGCCTGAAACTCAATGAGTTTTGGTAAAGGCTCCAATATACTTATGGTGAAGTTCTTTTTCATTCTTCACTTGGGTAAAAAGAAGTTTGAAATACCTGAGCAGTGGTGAACTGTTTGTGAACATCATGATGCCGCCCACGCTGCTGAGAACAGAGATTAGATGAATATGTAAATATGTGCTACACACTCTTCTCTCAATAACAAAATAAACATAGAACAAAAATGACAGCGGTAAGAAGTTCGCCAAAAGTGAAAATTTGCCTTAGATTTACCCTTCAGATTTACCCTCAAGCCATCCAAGATGTAGATTGTTTCTTCATTGGAACAGATTTGGAGAAATGTAGCATTACATCACTTGCTCACCAATGCATCCTCTGCAGTGAATGGGTGCCGTCAGAATGAGAGTCCAATCAGCTAATAAAAACATCACAATAATCCACAAGTAATCCAAATGACTCCTGTCTGGATAGCCTGAGGGTTAGTAAACTGTCGGCAAATTTTCAGCATTTTTTAGGAAACTATTCCTATAAGAAAGCATCTGATCATACTGAAGTGGATATGTTTGCACAAGTTTTGCAATTCGGTACTCCAGGCAAGTCGCTTATTTATATAGCACTTTATACAATTGATAAAGCAAGCAGATTTACAGTATTAAACATGAAATAAACAGTGTCAGTGTCAGTTTCAATTAGAGTTACAACTTCAGTTTCTACTGAAAAGCAGCTCTCCAGTGTGTTCAGGTTTTTACTCATGTCTGATCTCGACAGACTGAACAGAAGAAATGAACCACCAGATTTCACCATCGATGAAGGCAGGGCCCCAGAGCACAGTTACCTACTGTATTACGTAACCACCACGGACCAATGGTTGTTTAAAGGTGTTGACAGTCAAAGCAAACTTTTCTGGCAAGCCACTTTGATTTCCTGAAACAAACTCCAAACTAACTTTTGGCCGGGCTTTATTCAAAATGACATCACACCAGTTCGTACTTGATTTTTGCTTGAAGTATATCGGGGCCTTAGTGCTGCAGGGTATAAACAGAGGACAGTTGCTTGGTTTGAAAGAGAAATCATGCCATCATGACTGGTGGGGGTCGAGGCAAACCCCTGAGCAAGAATTCAAAAATGGGCTTCCAGAGAGTGCTATTGGCCATTCACAGATGCTGACCTTTTCCCTTCCTGTTGAAAGTTATTTGCTTTTGAATCTATTCCTTTTCTGTTTTGAATCTATTCTATGAAATTTAATAAAACAGTCATAACTTGTCACTTCCAATGTTAAAGGATTTGACACCCAGTATAAACATGAGATATTGTGGGTTTCTATTTTTGGTTGGTTTAAGCCTGGAGCTAGATAAGAGCGCACTGGCATGACATGCTGATAATCATAAATCATAACACTACCCATCCATCAGTGTTATATACTAAACTTTTTTTCTGTGTACGCATCAAAAGAAAGCATGTAAAAAGCATCTGGTCTGCATTTTTGCAATTTGTTTTATTACAAAAGTCATTGTGTGATTATAAATAAAAAGGTTAAATATTGACGTTTCCATTGTGTAAGCTCTTTCGACTCTAGTTCTGATCTTAAATGATAAAATACAGATTATTAAAGATACATTGTGTAACTTTTGTCCCTCTAGTGGTTGACGCATAAAACTACAAGTTATTGCGGAGGAACATTGTTTTGATTACGTGAGTTGTGCTTTGGCTCCACTATTCTGCGCGGAAGAATCTGAAGGTGATGATAAACGGGGCAACTATTTGAGCAATGTTGCCAAGGGATGCTGCTTGACCACTTTTCCCATTGAGAATGGGCAACAAATTTCTATCTGGATACTTTAGATCAGTCGTGGGCCCTGTGTCTCACCTGGTTGCCTTGTTGAGATTGCTCAAAAAGTTGCCCCGAGTATCATCACCTTGACTGTTTCAAGCGCACCAGTGTGCCCATGATCGAATCAATAAATGACGAAAGAAAGACGGGTAAGTAACTTATATGTCGGGTTCTTTGACTTGTTGAAAATATATATATTTTTTAAATAACATTACAAATGCTTGCCGATGCTGGCGTTAGAATTAACCATCGAGATTTGTATGATATCAGGAAAAAGGGTGTAAACCGATTTAACTTGGCTAGTAGGCTATTTATAGACAACCGGACCAAAGTACTAGTAATTGGTTTGGAGTTTGGCATTGTTACCAGCAAAAACATTTTTTGTGAACCCAGTCAATGCTCAGCAAATATGATGCTTTGCAAACTAAAGCCAAGCTAATGTTGATTCATGTTTTATTACGCAAACAGTCGCTTTCCCTTTTTGTTTGCAAACTCTTTCTTTTGGTGTAGTTTCAAGCTAAGGCCCTGTCCCAAATCGCACCCTAAACGTAATGCCGCTTTGATTGTTGGGTAGAAGTGCACATCAAGGGTGCATAGCGGCCACAAAGGGGGCGCTCGTGAGCACCCTTCTGAAAGCTAAAATGACGGGCTTGTCCAAATACCCACACTAGCAGTCTTTGCGCTTGACCACTATTTGGCTCAAGTGTTCAAGTGGGAGTGAAGAACACAAGTGTGTGTAGAACTTTTCATTACCCGGGACACACTTATACTTGTTGTAAAAATGCAAGTGTTTACAGAACTTGATTTTGATTTTCAATAATTTGCATTTTAAAATAAACTTCTAAATGTCTGTTCAGTAGTACCTATAACAAATAACATAATTTAGTGTGGTCCTTCTACTTAAGTGATAAAAAGCAGTTGCAAATGTTGTACAAAATAAGCATACTCATCTTTGCACCAATAAAACATGCAACACTTTTATGTTTTACTACCAAATTATATGTAATATCTAATTATTATTAATATTTCGTACACTGGAAAGGTTTTCATGACCTCTTGCGAGACCTCAGCAAAAATCTCACGATTTATTTCCAGAACATGATGCATGATGGGATAAAGCTTAGCCTCAAATACCACTCAGAAGCTGTATTCAAGTTTTTTCGACCTGGTACAGTCTTGCTCACTTCATGTTGCGTGCATGCACTCTCAAGTGGCCAAGACCTCAAGTGTGGGTATTTGGACAAGCCTGATGAATGGGACACCCTATGGTCTTATGGACTTAATGGACACTCGCACACGGTGGCCATTGTAAGTCCACAAGACCATAAGTGCACATGAAGTGTGCCTAGAATACCTTCCACCAATAATAGCCATGACCTGTATTCCTTGATGTGACGTAAACATGCATGGAGGAATGAGAGAAACATTAAGGCACAAAAAAGGTTGGAAGATATATTTTTGATGTACTTGCTCAAAATTAAAATTTAGTTAATTTTAAACAAAAAAACGTTACTTGCGTTCTAGTGTCTTGCATTGCTATAGTGCTTCAACATGCATTTTTAAACTCTTTTATTAATTAGGATATGAATGTAATAGGTTTAAAGAAAGCTCTAAAAATTTTATTTCTCGGAATGAGGCAACTTTCTTTTATTAAAAACACATTTTTACAAGAAATATACAACAGGAAAATATACATACATGACTACAAAGACTACAGATTGACAAAGGAAACATACACAAGCACATACATGTTGGTCTATTCACAGTGGTTACACCTTCAAGATATTTGTGTGTAAAAACAAATATATTGAATATGTCGATAATATTACAATAAGAGGAATATTTACACGTGTATTTTTCAGGGGCGTGATTGACATGTCAGGAAGAAATGCACAGGATATTGTCCAGGGGTAAGAGAGCTCTTTTCGTACACTCATAACATATCTGTGCTACAGAGATGATCCTGACAACACAAGGGATGATAATCTGAGCAGGGTGAGAAAAATATGGCATCATATCTTCTGATTCTCAGGTAGTCATTGATGAATGTAAAAACGAACTGAAGCGATACAAGACTAGACTAATCACAAACAGTGAATCATTCTGACCAATAATGAAATGAATAATTTGGCCTTGAATGAAAAATATAAAAATGATTATCACATAAATAAAGTGTCTGTTTTAATGTAGGATCATTGAGAGTATATTACATGGTTTTGTAAAAAAGGAAGCACTGAGTGAAAAATGTAAATGTATGTAACTATAAGCTGATAAAGATACTATGGAAAATACATAACAGATTATCTTTGGTTGCGATGGCTAAAATGTGATCTTGTATTGAGAGTTCCTCATTTCATAATTTTTTGCCATTACGTTTTTTTTTCCCTGTCAAAAAAGCTCCCAAGCATTGCCTTGTTGTCAGACAATGTTCTTGCCACTTTTCTACAACATGCTCAAAAATTATGTAATAATGCTGTACATTATGATCAGAGAAGGACATAGTAAATACTCATTATGAATATAAAAACACTAACCACTATATGAAATACTGTCAGAGCTCCCTATGAACATGCTATGGCAAATGACCCCTCTGGACAAAAAAAAGTGTGTGAAATATGCCTTTCATATTTATTAAACTCACAAAGTTACCTGTGTTACCACAAAATAGCTCGAGGTGCTATATATAAAAATATACATAATATTTATATATATATTTAATTCTTCCTCTCTTTTTTAAAGAATCTGTTCTGTTGTTCTGTAAAAACAACAAAGTTTATATAGTGTATATATCCCTTTAACAAAATGACCACAAACATTTGATTAGTATTTCTCAGATTGTATGCAAATCTAACATAATATCTATGCATTCATCAACTATGTCATTACAGAGCAGAACTGGTTGGAAAAACCAACCGGTTGACCTGTGTTATGCCATAACGTGACTCAACGCCAGACTGTCTGGCCACAGAAATGCTACGGTGTCATGCACACATGCTATTAACTCTGTACAGTGTGCGTGGCAATACTCACAAAGAAAAGAAAAAATATATATTTGCCTCTATATTTGCTAGTTATATCTACTAATATATCATCTAATTATAAAAATAACACTTCTACATCAGTGATTAGTATCAAATGTAGCGTAAGCAGTGAGGCTGAGATGAGAGGTGACAGTTCTTGCTGCATAGTGCCGTAAATAGCTGAGAAGATATGATACAATGTTATTGAGGACTTAACACCAGCACAACTAGAACACCAAGAATGAATGCAACAAAACTGCAGTTTCTGTGACCTAACATGAGATGCTCATTAGAGTGCCTCCAAGTCTTTTCCCATCAGTGTTAATGCTGGTACAATGGGAGAGACAAGTAGAGTGCTCTGTACTACATAGAATATGAGAAACACCATAAAACCCTTAGCCTACATGCTGTATTTCTTCCCATTGGTTCTTCGATCTCATAACCATTTCAGTATATTTGCTAAGAAAAAAATTCCAAATGAATTAAGTTAGCAGGCGAGTAAAATATTGAATGGACATTTGTAAGTGTCATATATTTCATTTCGTTATCATTGAACATAAGCCCATCATTGGTCTTCAGTTCACATCAACCCATTTAGAAATTGGGTTTGTCAATCTGCCCAATTTCCCAATCTTGTTCACAAAGGACACATTCTAGCATTCACTCTATGCTACAAATGTCTTTGGCCGTCGTCGCATCTCGCTGTTTATGTCAACAATTTATACTTCTGCACCACTGCATAGATGCTTTTGATTTCAGATCAACGGGGGATTAAATGTGATATTTTTTGCGTTACTTTTTTTCAGAATTAAGCTAAATTATAGCCCTAGTTGTACTATAGGGGTTTGCCAGGAACAAAGCACCACCTTTGAGGACACCTTCCCTTCACCAGTGGCATCAATTAACTGCTGTTCACAGTCATTGTACATTCATCTCACAGGTTTCCTCACAGGTGTCCGAGGCAGGAAGTGATCAAAAAACATGTCTAAATACAAATGTTACATATTTTATTGGCCTCTGCGGACATCACAACAATAACTTGCCTTGAACATAAGTCTTTCTGAAATAGTGTGGAGAAGCATGCCAAAAACACTGCAGTGAAGGCCAGTGCTCCTCACACAAACTCAGTGGAAATTCATTTTGGGATGGCAGAGTGAGATGTGGCTTAGATTTCAGTGGCAGTGATCTCCTCAAAATGGATCTCATTGCTACGCATGTCAAACTCCTCCATGTCCCTGTTCTCCAGCTCAAGACTAAGTTCCCTCATCACATGTTCTAGGTCTCGGTTTCTGCGGTACATCTGGATGTAGTTCTGCTGCAGCTGCTTCTGGTAACGAATCACCTTGTCTTTCTCCTCCTGCCATACCCTGCGTTCATCCTCAAAGGCCTCCAGCTGGTCCTCACTCCGCCTCCTCTCATACATCAGCTCAGCCCGCATTCGGTCCACCTGCTGACGGAGACCATGAAGCACATCCACGCTCTGACGCTGCACCTTCGCTTCATCGCTTTCATATGCTAGAAACTGCTCTTCACTGCTGTTGTCCCGGAAAGCAGGACTGATTCCGTGAGTGATTCCCCCACGGCTTTGGGGCAGGGGCAAGCTCATGCACTGGCCCTTAGAAGGTAGAGTTTGGAACGGGGACACTGCCAGGGTCTCTTTAAGACGGATGGACTCTTCCTCCAAACGGCCCACCTTCTCCCGCAGGAGCTCCGCTTCGCTTTTACGACGCTGCAGCTCATTCTCGCAAACCTCAAGTTCGAGTGTACGGGTGCGGACTGTGGCGTGGGCTTCCTGCGAGCGAGCCTGGCTAGCTTGAAGCTCGGAACGAGCCTCTCTCAACTGGGCTTTCAAAGCAACAATCTCGCTGGCCTTCTGACCAAGATCAGCCTGTACATCCTTCAGCTGCTGCTTCAGCAGAGAGATCTCACCAGACTTCTGACAGACCTGCAACACAGGAGCATTCAAGTTCATTGAATGTAATTATTACTCATTGCTAGATCTAAATTGGTACAAGATCTCACCTCCCACTTTGTCTCTTCTAGACGAGGACCTAGTTGAGTCTGCTCCTTCTCAAAAGAGGCACATCTCTTCTCCAATGCCTCCCGTTCCTGCAGCAGTTGGGAGAAGTCCTCCTGCAATTTCTTCTTCTCTTGCTGCAGCTGGAACACCTGCAACTGCAGGACATGTTGTGCCCGTTGTGCCCTCAGCTGCACCTGCTTCATTTTCGATGCGCAGCTCTGCCGAAGGTCCTCCAACTCTTGCTCACACCGCTTCTGTTTCTCCTCATACACCTGCATGGAAAAGACATATGATTTTACTTACGTTGTATCCACGTATCTAACAATTCCCTGTCAAATGGCACTAATAACTGGTAGAAAACTGCGATTGTCACCTGACAGATGGCTGCCTCATTCTCATCCAGGTTGTCCCTGAGTTGCTGCAGCTCCAGGTCTCTTTCCCTCAGCTTCTCCTCAAGTTCCCGAATGACGACCTCATACCCTTCTCCTGGAGCCGGGGAGCGGCCACACGATCCACTGTCTGAGAGGGGCTGCCCACGGCCACTTAAAGACCCTGTGCTCTTACTGGATGATGACCGACCACTGTCAGAGTTAGAGTGTCCGTGGCCACCACTGGAGCGTGTGGTTTCCATGTGCCCGGTGGGAACCTCGCTCTGTGCCAGGCTGTACCCTGTGCTGCTGTAGGTTGGTAGACTGGAGAGTGAGTTGCGGCCTGAGTCCGACATAGTGCAGGATTGGCTATTCCGTGCATTGCGCCCCCCACTGTAAGAGTTACGCTTCTCCTGACAACCCAACAATGCTCCAGTGCCAGGAAGTAAGAGGTTGAGGCTGCCCTGGCTTTCAGTCTGACTGCCCCCTGACCGTGGAGACAGGTACTGCACAGAGTTGCGATTCTTGGGCACAACCGGCTTAAAGGCAGTGGGACGGATCAGTATCTTCTCCATACTCTGTGATCAAAAGTAAATGGTTAATGTGACTACTACGTAAAACCACATTTAACACTTGAACTAAAATGCTAACTACACTGCTGTTGAAAACTTTGGGGTTGGTAAGATTTTTAATCTTTTTGAAAGATATCTCTTATGCTTACCAAGGCTGCATTTATTTGATCAAAAATACAGTAAAACAGCAATATTGTGAAATCAGCAATTTTGTATTTTAAAGGGGTCATATGATGCGATTTCATTTTTTCCTTTCTCTTTAGAGTGTTACAAGCTCTTGGTGCATAAAGAAGATCTGGTTCTTTTTAGCAGCATCATATGACCGCTTTAACATTTTAAAATATAATTTATTCCAGTGATGGAAAAGCTGAATTTTCAGTAGCCATTACTCCAGTCTTTAGTGTCACATGTTCCTTCAGAAATCATTCCAATAGGTCAATCTGATTCTCAAGAAACATTTCTTATTATTATCAATGTCATTAACAGTAACTCTGTAGAAACCATGATTTTGATTTTAAGCGTTCTTGTTGAATATAAAGTTAAAAGAATTTAAAATAAATATTTTGTAAAATTATAATTATAAATTGTCTTCACTGTCCTTAATCTGTCTTTGCTGAATAATCATTTCTTTCAATAAAAATTTGCTGACCCCAAACTTTTGAATGGTAATGTATCTACACAATACATGGTGAAAGCATGAAGACAACAACAGGAATCTTTATTTTTGTTGAGAGTGTAACTGAGGTGTCATTGATTAAATGTGTACAGTAAGTGATGGCATATTGACATACTGCAGTGATTAAAGGCTCTCTTTGATCAACAGAAATGAATAGCCAATTAAATGTACTTCCCACTGTGTGTAATGAGCATCAGCAAAACTACCATTCTTTACAGTAAAATAAACAAATGAGACCATATGACAATATAACAATGGGCAGAATTTTTAATTAGCTACTTAAAGAAATGATCTGGTTAAAAATAACAAATGTGTAGCTTGTACGACTTTTAATGCACTTGTGCTAATTTTTTTTGAGCTGTAAAGTTTTTTTCTTTTATGTTTACCTCCTAAGCACCTTTTCCACCTATTCTGACTCACCTTTTCCAGCTTCCCTGACACTGGGATGAGTTTGGGAGGAGGGCCACCAATGTTACCATTCATGCCTCTGTTATCAGGAGGCTCTTCGGTATCACTGGACGGGCTGCACGGGGTCACATGATTATCATTCCAGTCGCCCACTGGCTCATCACTCAAATAGCCATAGTTGCCATTGCCAACAGAGATGAGGGCAGAGGACTTGTTCTTAGCAGGTAGAAGAGGCTGTCTGGTGAGAAGCTGCTCCTGTGAGCTGGCACTGCGCAGCGTGCCCTCTTGCTGTCGGAAACAGCTCGTAGCTGGTGTGGGTTTGCGATACTTGGTGCCAAAGTCGCTGGCAGCTCGGCAGTGACGCTCCTGGTAGGTACGTCCAGAGATAAGGCTGCTGACGGAACCCATGGTGCCTGCCGCAGCTACGGTGGGGGAGTGAGACACTGAGCAGCACTGCTGGATGTCAGCGCTGGGCTTCGGGTGATCAGTGGGCACAGGCAGTGCCTGAACTAGAGCCATGGCGAACACACGCCCAGGACACACACTCTGTGGAGAGAAAAACAGGAAGACAAGGAATAAAGATTACAGTCAAAATGGGCTGATTGTCATGAAACCTGTAAAATGGATCATATAATTTTAGGTCATATAATTGCACAGTTTTTGATTTCAAAAACAAAAGAATCTCAGAATCAGAAAGAGCTTTATTGCCAGGTATGTTTACACAAACAAGGAATTTGTTTTGGTGACAAAAGCATCCACAGCATTACAGTGACAAGTCACAAATAATAAAAATAGAATGAGTAAATAGAATAAAAAATGTGATAAAAAAATGCACAATATACAAATAGACAATAGATGGCATTTGTGTGTACAGGCATGTTATGTACAAATGCAAGGAAATGTGAATAAGTGTGGTGTTTTAAATAAATAAATGTATAAATAATGTTGTGTATTACACGTTCATTGCCAAGTTAACTGTTCATGAGATGGATTGCCTGAGGTTAACTTTTCTTATGCTTGGCTGTTCTGGTGCTCAGTGCTTTGTAGCACCGACCAGATGGCAACAGTTCAAAGAGGAAGTGGCCTGGGTGTGAGGGGTCCAGAATGATTTTGCCAGCCCTTTTACTCACTCTGGATGAGTGCAGTTCTTGGAGAGTGGGGAGGGTTGTACCAGTGATTCGCCCATCAGTCCGGACTATCCGCTGCAATCTTCTAAGGTATGATTTGGTACCTGAGCTGAACCAGACAGTTACTGAAGTGCAGAGGATGGATTCAATGACTGCAGAGTAGAACTGTATCAGCAGCTCCTGTGGCAGGTTGAACTTCTCCAGGTGGTGAAGGAAGTACAACCTCTGCTGGGCCTTTTTGACAATGGAGTCTATATGGAACTCCCACTTCAGGTCCTGAGAGATGATGGTGCCCAGGAACTTGAATGACTCCACTGTTGCCACACTGCCGTTCATGATGGTGAGTGGGGGGAGTGCAGGGGGGTTTCTCCTTAAGTCCACTATCATCTTCACTGTTTTGAGCGTGTTCAGCTCCAGGTTGTTATAACTGAACCAGACAACAGCCAGCTCTTTAACCTCCTGTCTGTAAGCAGACTTGTCACCGTTCTGGATGAGGCCATTAAGTGTGGTGTCGTCTGCAAACTTCAGGAGCCTGACAGAGGGATCCTTTGCAGTGCAGTCATTGGTGTACAGGGAGAAGAGCAGTGGGGAGAGCACACATCCCTAAGGGGCGCCAGTGCTGATCGTACGGGTGCTGGATGAGAATTTTCCCAGCCTCACTAGCTGCTGCCTGTCTGTCAGGAAGCTGGTGATCCACTGACAGATGGAGGTGGGCACAGAGAGCTGAGTTAATTCGGACAGGAGGAGGTTTGGAATGATAGTGTTGAAGGGTGAGCTGAAGTCCACGAATAGGATCCTCACATAAGTCCATGGTCTGTCCAGATGTTGCAGGATGTAGTGCAGTCCCATGTTGACTGCATCATCACAGACCTGTTTGCTCAGTAAACAAACTGCAGGGGGTCCAGTAAGGGTCCAGTGATGTCCTTCAGGTGGGCCATCACCAGTTTTCAAATGACTTCATGACCACAGATGTTAAAGGCACAGGTCTGTAGTCATTAAGTCCTGTGATTTTGGGTTTCTTTGGGATGGGGATGATGGTGGAGCGTTTGAAGCAGGAAGGGACTTTGCATAGCTCCAGTGATCTGTTGAAGATCTGTGTGAAGATAGGGCCCAGCTGGTTAGCACAGGATTTCAGACAGGCTGGTGTAACGCCATCTGGGCCTGGTGCTTTTCTTGTCTTCTGTTTCCAGAAGACCTGGTGCACATCATCTTCACTGATCTGAAGTGCAGGAGGGGTGAGAGGGGTTTGTTGGAGGCGTTAATAGATCCATAGAGAGAAGGTCAAAATGGGTGTGGGGTGTGAGACCTCATTCAAATCGTCAGCCAGTTGTTGATTCTCCACAGTGCTGGGGGATGGTGTCTTGTAATTGGGGATGTCTTTCAGTCCTTTCCACTGATGCAGTGTCAATGGCTGAAAACTGATTTCTCAGCTTTTTGGACCCTGTCCCCACTCATGTAGGCATCTTCTTTGGCCTGACGGAGCTGTCTGAGTTTTGCAGTGAACCACAGTTTGTCGTAGTTGTAAGTTAAATGAGTCCTGGTAGGAACGCACATATCCTCATAGAAACTAATGCATGATGTTATAGTCTCTGTGAGCTCGTCCAGATCGGTGGCTGCAGCTTCAATAACACTCCAATCAGTGCAGTCAAAGCAGGCTTGTAAATCCCGCTCTGCTTCATTAGTCCATCTTTTTACAGTCCTTGTTACAGGTTTAGCTGATTTCAGTTTCTGCCTCTAGGTTGGTATAAGATGAACCAAACAGTGATCAGAGAGCCCCAAAGCTGCCTGTGGGACAGAGTGATATGCATCCTTTATTGTGGTGTAACAGTGGTCCAGTATATTACTGTCTCTGGTAGAACATGTAACATGCTGTCTTTATTTTGGCAGTTCATGGGAGAGATTTGCTTTATTAAAGTTCCTGAGAATGATTATAACAGAGTCCGGGTATTGTTGCTCTATATCTATGATTTGATCAGCCAGTTGTTGCAGCCAGTTGTTGTAGCTCATATCTTTAGACATCGCCGCATGACCAAAGTGATGCAATTTATTAATGTAACTTTACACAATATTGCCACAGAATGAGATCACGGTCTTATTACAGGTTATTGAGGTTAAGTGCCTTGAGTTATTGCAGCAATCTGTGGTTAAAGACCACATGAGATCAAAATTCAACTTTTGAAGCATTTGGTCCATGTCTGCTTTCTCCAAGACTATCTATATTGTACACTGTACAATAAAAAAACACTTCAATCAGTATGTAATCTCATATACTGTATGTATATAGAGCAATGTTTCATAATAAATGCATTTCTACTCATTTTTTCTTTCAGAAATAAAATTAAAAATGCCTGAACATTATGATTTGATTTCACAGAAAAAAGGAACTTTTCGATTTTTAGTAGTTAGATTTTTTAATAGTTGTTGTTAAAGTTGACTAAATTAACTTAGCATATAGATACAATTTAAACTTATAGTCTGTCTCTTTACTGAATGTCCCTCACCCTAATACCACCTGTTAGCAACTATCAATTTAAAAAAAATGCTTACAAGGGTACAATGTTGATGGTGCCCTTTGCAGTGACTGAACAGCAACCTTTACGTTTTGGGACTAGTGGGCACTAACATACTTGTCCACATCACCAAAGACACTTATTGTTCAACTATTACATGCCGTAACTGTAAAGGCCTTAGTTAGCACAGCACAAAATGAATGAGCAATGTAACAGCTCAATTAAAAACAGATAAGCAAGCATTAGCAGCAGTTAGTTATGTGTTTCCGAATCAGTGTTAGAGTTTAATTCTCGGATGGGCATTGAGGGATATATATTTAGCCTGCTGCAATGTGCTAAGAGCAGTTTCACCATGTGGAATAATCTGCAAAGAGCCTGCCAGTCCAATCAATTACCCACACCCTCAGTGCACTTCAGAACACACTCCCAGAGAACTTCAAAATGCCACATGCAGGAGGAACACAGTCTTGAGTCGCCAGGAGAGATCAGACCGCCCCGACTGCACTGCCATCCCAATGACCTCTCTGCCACCGGGACAGACAGGCAAAGAGAAAGCCAGTGCCAGTCTGACTCAAACTTCTCATAAGACATTCTTGTTCTGTTCACTCATCCACATGCAGCCCCCACATGCCATTTTAGCTGAGGTTTGAATTCTGATGAAGTCAAAGTAGCAGACTTCAGCATGGGATTGGGTGAATACCTGATGGTCTTATGGCCTTAATGAATTATCATTCTCTGGTAATAACTACCAGTCAAAATTGTGGATGTATTTAACCCTTATTATTAATATTTTCTACAATTTAATTACTGGAAGTGCACATCCCTTCCTTAATTTACACCTACAAGTGTACACTCTCTCCTGCCAGCAACTTAATAAGAGATGCCTTGTTGTTCCTTCACAACGAAGCACAAAGTCATTCTCCAGAACCTTCACCCTCTCTGCTGCTCCTCTCTGGTGAAATGAGCAGCCAACCTCCACCGCTGAGACCATCACTTCTTTCAAGAAGCAGCTGAAGACACAATCCTCATTTTTCCTCATTTTGGACATCTACTCAACCAATTGCATGAGGTGGGATCCTGGGATGCTTTTTAAACAGTACTGAAGGAGTTCACTTGTATGCTGAACTGTTGTTGGCTTAATGTTTTATATTAGTATATAATCCGTGTATCATTTGATCATTCGTTTTTTGATTTAATATTGAAAGTAGAAAAATTAGAAAACGGCTCCGTTTTCATTTTTTCTCCAAAAAACGAAAAACGAGAATTCAGCTTAAATTTTCGTTTTTTGTTCATGGGTGGAAAAATGAATAAACAGCTTGAATATTCGATTTCTACATGTGGGCGGGAATTAAAC